GGGGGGGCGGGCATCTCCGAGCCACGGCCTGCGACCCCGGCCCGCACGGCGGCTTAGAGTCCCAGACACTGCCCCCCACCCCCGACCACCATCCGACCTCCTCGGTGTGGACCCGGGCGGGGGTCGCCCTCTTCACAGACAGGGTCGCGCATCCCCACGCCCCCGCCCGTGCGGGGTACCTCGTGAGCGCCTGCGGAACCCCCAGTGGCAAAAGCTTTCTTTTCAGGCGGGGGTGGAGAGGCCTTGGGGGTTGGGGTCGCGCGGCTCCCCTCCCCATTCCACGCCGCCGGGGCGCGCAGGGGCAGGGGTTCCGTCGCGGGCAGCAACAGCGATCCCGCCCCGGACGAGTGACCCTGAGTGCTGCCCGTGACCCCGACTCCGCCGGTCTTTGGCCCCCTCGCAGCCCCGGGCAGGAAAGGGAGACCCCAGACTCTGGACACCCACCCTGGCGGAGACAGAATCGCAGAGCGGCCGGGCCCTGTTTTTCAGGGTAACCGCGTCTCCGAGTTTCAATCTAGGGGGACAGAGGCGAGAGACCCCCGCCCCTCGTACGGCCGGCGCGGCGGCGGGGGAGGGGAGGGCGAGGGAGAGAGGGAGGACACGCGGAAAGAGCGCGGCTGGCGCCGGTGGCGCAGGGCGGGCGGCCCCTTGCGGGGCGCGGACGCGTGAAGGTCACTGCAGACGACGGCCGCTCCGCCCCGACTGCCCTCGCGGCCCCGCCCCCACCGGGCGCCCCCTCCCCGGGCCTCCGGGACTGCCCCCGCGGCAGAAGCCGCACTGCGGGGAGAGCGGGGTCGCGGCAAGGTCGGAGGCTGGGCCTCCAGTCCTGCCGCCCCTCCCGGGGGTCGGGAGACCCCGCCCCGCCGGCCGACCTTGTGGGCGGTGCTGCGGGGAGCGGCTGCGGCTCAGCCCCGGCCAGGGTCCCGAAGAGCGTCCGGGCTGAAAATGTTTCTCGGGCCACCGGCGCAGGGCTGACCTCCTGCTTGGTGGGCGGACAACCCTGGTGGCCACTGCATTAAGTTGTCGGTGTCCCTTCCCGACAGAGTCATCGGGACGTGCCGGGCCTGGGGTGGAAGGGACGGATCCTGGAGCTGTCTCTGCCCCCACCCCCACTCCGGGGAGACCCGCCCCTCTCTGCTCCTCCGCCCCATCCCCACCCCCACCCGCAGCCGTGAGGCTGAGATGCAGACCCACAAAGCTTATATCCTCCGGATCTGTTTGCCGCCTCCGCTCCCAGCTTCCACCCCTCTCTGACCGTCTCCAGCCCATACTGTGCAGGGCAGTGGCCGGGTAGGGCCCCAAGGGGAGGCTATGGAGAAATCCAGCGCTACTCCCTGGGAGCTGGGGTCACTGTCTACTCAGTGGCCAGTGACCCCGGAGGAGGCACAGGTCCCAAAACATACTTCTCAGGAAACACCCGGCTGCAGCCTCTCTGGATGCCAGGGCCCTGGGGAGCTGGCCTCAACATTCTCACTTTCTCCTGCTAACAGGTCCTGTCAGCTGGGTTTGGGCCAGGAGGTGAAGGGGGGGAGGTGTGTGTGTGTGTGTGTGTGTGCTGCCCAAAGGGTGAGCCTGGGGGCAGGACATGGGACTCAAGCCCAGGCTGCAAGGAGCCCCTTGAGCTAGTGTGCCCTGGCTGACCCCCAGGAATGGATTCTAGACCCAGGCCTTCAGCGGCTCTAGGGATGTGTACTCTGTGGTCACCTGTAGCCCAGTACGTGAAGGTCTTGAGGGTCTGACTTGAGCCCCAGCTCAGGTCCTGCTCAGCCTGGCCCTTCCCGTGTCCTCAGTACCCGGGTGTAGATGCTGGAGGCAGAGGTCTGGTCCAGGAAAGAGAGGCTCTTCCCTCCACCTCTGCTGCCACCAGATGGGCCTGAAGGGTGAATCACAGCCGATCTGTGTCAACCCCATGCAGGATCCCATAGGTGACCTCAGCCAAGTCCAGAGCAGGCCCCGCAACCAATGACCCTGGGTCACCTCAAGAGCCCCCTACAGGGAGACACTGCATTGACTCAGGGCAGCCAGGTTGGGCAGAGTAATGCCTTTGTGGCACCAGAGCCTTGCAAGCTCATCAGGACGGCGGAGGGTCTTCAACTGGATGGGGACTCCACAGCCCCACCGACTCCATGATCTGGGCCTGGCTGAGCTCCACACACAGCCCTGAGCCAGGGGTCCAAGGATGCTGCCTGACCCTCCAAGCCTCTCTCCGTCTTTCTCTTGCCCTCCCTGTCCCTCTCTGTGGGTCTCCATCTCTGTCTCTCTGCTTGTTGCCCTCCTACACTCACCACCATGCTGTGACCCCCTCAGTCCTGACAGTTGCCCAGGCCCTAAGCTGGGGATCGGTGGCCCGGCCAGGACTCAGACTCTCCCAGGGGAAACAGGCAAGGTTGGTGACAGTTCCGGATCAGAGTGACTGGTGTCCCATCCTGGCAGGGGGAGGCTGGCCCACTCTGGAGCCTGAGAAGGACGGCAGGGTGAGCAGTGCTCTGGGCAGGTAGTGAGGCCATGAGGTGAACCAGCTGGAAACTGCCCACCTGCCAGTTCTGCTCCCGTGGTGAGGGGGCAATGCTGCCCTTGGTGGGATGTGTGGCCCTGTGAGTGCCCAGAAGAGGACCCCCTGGGTACCGGTGAATAGCTCCCAGTTCCCAGAACTGCAGCCGGCCACAGAGAGGCAAGAGCTTGGCGGGAAACTTCCACACAGCTGAGAAAGATCCAGGAGGGAGTTCGAAGGCACCTGGACGTGGCCGCTGTCCAGGATGGGGCCAGGGCACAGAGGAGGTGAATGAATGGCGGTGGTACTGGTAGTGGGGGTGCGTTCCAGGGAGTCAGAATGAGGGGAGAGGCGTCTCAGCGAGAGGTTGGCATTCGGGACATGTGTGTTTGGCTGTGGCACCCTGGCCAGCTGGCAGAACAGGTGTATGGCCCCTAGCTCAGCTCTCTGCGTGCCCTCCAGAAACTGGCCCCTTGAGGCCAAGAAGCCCTGATCCAAAGCAGGGTTGTGCCAAAGACCATATGATGCTGGGTTTGAGACTCCCTGCCACGCAGAGTCCCCTTTGTGGCCCCACAGAGTCGCTCCAGATGGCAGACAGAGGAGACAGCCACCCTGCTCTGGCCCTCCCAGGAAACCCCTACTGGGTGCCCCTTCGCTCCCTCCAGGGAGGCCTGGCACCTGCCGATCCCATCTGTCCCACGGAGGGCCTCTGGCACCCCAGGGCAGCGCCCTGCTCCAGCCCCGACAGCATGGGAGAACAGAAACAAAGTGAGAAGGAAACTCTCGGCTGTCTTCCGTCAGGGCTGTGAGCGCAGGGGACCCTTATGTGCCTCCCCGACGCCACGACCCCTTCCCTCGTGACCGTGGGCAAGAAGAGTCCAGCCCCCAGGGCCCAGCCTGCTGCGGGCTCACCTGTGGAAGCTCCAGGGAGTGAACCTGAGGTACGGCCCAGCCTGGGGTGCCCGCTTCTTCCTCAGACCAGCGTTCCGTCCTGCATGCTGGTCACTCTTGCCTGGTCAGGGTCGTGTGATGAAATGCATTTTCTTCCCGACCATCTGTCTCCACAGAGGCCCTGCCCCCACCCCCACCCCCACCCCCACAGAGGCTGCTCCTCAAGTTCCAGAGACAAGGGGGACCCCTGCCAGGAACACCGGGGACCCACTTTCCTGAGGAGTTGGCCCAGGGGCTGGGCTCAGAGCACCGTGATGGCTCCTGCCCCATCTGCCTACACTCTGCTCCGCTTCACACCCCAGCCCCCTGATGCTGTCCGCCTTCCCCGACAGGGCCCCAACCCCCGCCCGGGGTTGCCTCCCTCCCCAGCTCCGTGCCCATGTGGCCTTGACCAGCACCTTCCCTTCCAGGCTCCTGTCATTACTCCAACAGCCCCGGCACAGGGGTCCAGCAGATTGGGGGAGGAGGGGGGGGGCTTTGAGTCACCTGCAGGGTGTCGTGTCAGAGAGGGGAAGGCATGCCTTTCAGAGATGCTCAGAGAAGTGGGCAGTGCAGGGGCGGAGGGAAAGTAAGGAGGGGTCAGCAGCGGCTGTGAGGCACCCCCCACCCCGCTCCTTGCCCTGAGCAGCCCCTCTGTGCTCCAGTGTAAAAATACACGGGTTTGGAGATGGGGTTTCAGCCTCTCACTGGCTGCTGTGGCGCAGCGGCTGCACGGAGGTGCTGGGACATACCCGAGGGGGTGCAGGCAGGCGTGAGGGACGGGAGGCATGGGGGAAGATGAGGCAGGGGTGAGTCCTGAGAGCTCTATCCTCTGGACACCCAGGCCTCCAGCAGGGCCCCTGTGGGCTGGGCCCAGGCACTCTCGGGTGGCCCTGGGTTAAGCATGTCTGTGCCTGTCACACCGGGGTCTCTTCCACAGTCATGAGCAAGATGGACCCTGAAACAAAAGGAATGTCCAGGCTGGGCAAATGCCCTGGGGCATCTCTATGTCTTGGGGGACATCTGGCCACATCCACTGCAGTGTAGTGTAACATCCACGCGAGTGCCCACCCGGCGCTCGGAGCCCGACTTTCTCTCTGACGCACGATCACTCCCCAGAGCCTGTCATGTGACCCTGAGCTGCAGACCAGACATCCTTGCTCTGGGAATGTCCCCCCCCCCCCCCAGCCCCGCCAGCCAGGTGCTCCTGCCCACCCCCTCCCCACCTCAGTCACTCTGTTCCACCCCAGTGGCCTCCTCCACCTTCCAAGAAGCCACTGCACTTGCTTTGGGGACCAAGCTCACTGGGTCCCCCCTTTTTTTAATAGTTATTTTTGACAGAGAGAGTTAGGGAGGAGCAGAGAGAGAGGGAAAGAGAGAATCCCAAGCAGACTCCACGCTGTCAGTGCAGAGCCGGACTGTGTCACGAATTGTGACATCATGACCTGAGCCGAAGTCCAGAGTTGGGTACTTAGCTGACTGAGCCACCGAGGCGCCCCCCCCCAGCGGGTCCCTTTAACAGAACCTTCTGCCGCACTGCATTCCCAGCCCTGCCCTGAGGCCAGATTCAGCACCTGGACACAGGACGCCAGGCTGTGCAGGCATAGGAGTGAGCCACAATGCGGGGGTGCTGAGAGGGCCCGGGGGGTGTTCCCAGGGCCCCCTGGAGTCTTGGTGGGGCAGCTCGAGAGGCCTGGATTCCTTCAGACAGTGACCCTGATCCAGCCAGGACTCAGTCAGCCACCAACATTGCTGACCCTTGGAGGAGGGCTTCAGGGTGGAGATTCAGGTGCCAGAGGGAAGCTCTGTGTCACTGGCGGGGCTGCCCAGGGACTGAGGGACCCAGATGCTGTGGTCACCACCCAGGAGTGGGTCCCCCTCTTCCCAGTAACACCCAGAGTAAGGTGAGGCCTGTGTGGGTACTGCTGGGATGCTTCGTGCCGAGGACACACTTACTGGCTCACTTGGGGAGAGGTACAGGTCTTACCTGGATCCTCCTTGCCTCCTGGGCCTTGACCTTCTGGCTGTGCTTTGGTCCAGGAGGTGGGAAGGTCAGGTGGCTAATTCCGTCCCGGCAGGACCCCTGTGGGCCCCGCTCTAGGGTGTGGCCCAAGGCCCTGGGGGGTGGGGTGCAGGGGCAGCTCCTTCTTAGCCAGGGTTGGAGGCCTGCCCCAGAGCACCCAGAGGTCTCTGCAGCCAGGCCTGTGCACAGCGAGTGCACCCCACGGAAGACGGGGGTTCGGCATTCCGTAACTTCACGTCGCGGCTGGCAACCAGCCTGAGTTGGGAGCACATCCACCACAGCGAGCGCCAAAACCAGGCTTTCTTTCCTTTGTTGTTTTTCTCCCCTGTCAGCTCACCGCTGCTTCCAAGGGCTCCCGCTTGGGCTGGGAGTGAACACAGAGGCTCTTGCAGAGGACAGCCTGGGTGATATCCACGGCCTGCAGGAACCTTGGACCCGCCAGCGAGGGGATGAGGATGAGGACCGCCCCTCGACGGCAGAGGCCAAGCCATCCTCTGCCCCTCCGTCCAGCCACGGGACCAGCCCCAGGCAGGCCAGCCCTGCCTGCGCACCCACGCGCTAGCTGAAGTTGTTTCCGGCCTCGGTGCTGGGCGTCACGACAGGTGCTGAGAGGAAGGAGGCAAGGCTGCGTGCTCACCCAGCTTCTGCTCCAGGAGGGAGCCGATGCCCAGGAGACAGCAGATGGCAGCAAGTGCTGTGCGGAGACCAGCACACAGACAAGTGACAGAGACCCAAGGGTTTCATTAGCGGATGTCTAAGCCAGGCCTCCGGGGGTATGTGGGCTTCGGGCTGAATTGACCCCGTGTCATCCTGACGAGTGCTGGGAAAGCTGGGTGGGGGGCTGCATTTCCAGCAGAATGGAAATACTCCCGAGTCCAGCGTGGGGGAGGGCCGGGCGCACCAGCGCACCTGTCGGGCAGCATGGCGCACACAGTGGCCACGTTACTAGTGGGTGAGCGTGGGGCGGGCCCGTGTGCTGAGGTCAGATTTGGGGAGGACTCAGGCTGGGGGCCTGTAGGAGCTTCACCTGGGGGAGGCTATGACCTGGTGGGGAGCCGGAGTTTGGACAGGGTGGGGCACACTGGGCAGCTAAGGGGCCACTGGACGAGAGTCCTGTTTATGGGGGCCACCTGCCCCGGCCCCAGGCCCTGACCTACACTCGCGCCTGCTGGCCACCTGGGGTTGGGCAGGGCCTGTGTAGGCTCATCTTCCTGGATGGAAGGAGGAGTAGATGGTTCCAGATCCTCAGCCAGGCCCAGGGCGGTGGTTCTGAGGCGCCCCCCCCCCCCCCCCCGCCAGCAGCAGGGACGGCACCAAGGTTTCCAGGCCATCCCATCACCTAGGGCAAGGCACTGTCCACCTGGGCCAGGCGCCACCTGGACCAGGGCAGACCCCTTGGTTGGCTCTTCCACGGGGTCCCAGTGGATACAGCTCCCCCCCCCCTCCATGTGGCCTGCCCGCTGGTCTGGGAAGGCACCAGCCCCTGGGCGGCTGAGGGTGATGGTTTACTTGATTCAGGTTCCTCTCTGGAGGCGGAGCCTGCTCCCCTTGGTTCAGGACGCGTTCCAATTTTACCTCCATTTTCTTTCCTGCATACAATGCTGCAATTATGATGTGATTTCTGGAACTGCTTCCCTCCCCAGGTCTGAAATCATGGCTTTGCCAGTCTCCTCCTCCTTCTGGAGAGGGGGTGTCCGGGTCCCTAGGTCTCCCGCCTACGGGCAGGCCTAAGTGTGCACGATCCTGACCTGCCCAGGGCCCGTCTGCTTAGAAGCCCTAGGTTTAGGGCCAGGGCTGTGAGGTTGTGTGTGGGGGTCTCCCTCTCTGGGCCACACCACGCTCACCTGGAGCACAGGGAGAGAGTCACAGCTTCCAGATGCTCACCGGGCACCTGATGGGTGGTATGGGGACGCGGGGACGTGCGCTGGTGCGCCCGGCCCTCCCCCACGCTGGACTCGGGAGTATTTCCATTCTGCTGGAAATGCAGCCCCCCACCCAGCACCTGTCAGGATGACACTGGGTCAATTCAGCCCGAAGCCCACATACGCCCTGAGGTCTGGCTTAGACATCTGCTACCGAAACCCTTGGGTCTCTGTCGGCCGGAGCAGGTCCAACAGTGGACATGTCTGTGTCCCCAAACAGCTCCTTCCTCGTGTCTTTGCCCCCATCTCCCTTCTCCCCACCCTGGCAGACCCTAGGCCTTCTCCAGCTGCTGGGAAGGGGTGAGCGGTGCCCAAGAGGCACGTGTGATCCGCCTGCTTGCACAGAGAGGCCTGGCCTCACCTTGCTGCCAGTGTTGGTGAGCTTGTTGTGGAAGGGGCTAACCCCCACCCCATCTCCTTGGGGCGGCCAGGTGCCTGCTGGCTTGGGGACTGTCAGTTGGGAGTTTGCTCTTCAGAGAACGGCCAATGGAGACTTCACACAGACATCCGTTTGGATTTCCGGCCTGAGACCAAAGTGGCCAAATGTGTGAGCGGTGGCAGGGGCCGCTGGGCTGCACCTGGCTCAGCCTCCAGCCGGTGACAACCTCGTACAGCAGAGCCACTGCCCTTCAGGACAGGCGTCTACTTTGCACTGACTGTCGGCCCCTGGCCGGCGCTGGCCCCGAACCCCCTGCAGGGGAGCCCGGAGTGGAGGCGTGTGGCTCACACAGGGTGTGGTGGGCAGGGAGCCCGTAGTGCAGTCGGGGCAGAGGACTGAATGGAGGGCCAGACTCTGACGCTGATCTCTGCCCTTGTGGGCAGCTGATGGGCAGCCATCCGCTTGGCCGCCTGTCCTGACCCTGTGCCCTCGACACCCTAGAGGCCCCTTGCCAGCCCTCACCGATTCCCCAGGGCAGGCGGCACAGGGGCCGTGGCTGGACCAGTGTCCACTAGGGTCAGCCCCACCTGGACGTGGGTGTGGACGCTGTGCCATGGCTATGGGCCAGGCAGAACCAGGGCTGATGGTGCAGCTCAGGGCTGGGGGACAACAGAGCCAAGGGACCCTGCTTGTGGAGCCTGGGAAGCAGACAGAGGCCCCAGGGAGGCAGCCCAGCTGAAGTCGAAGGTGTGGACGGGTCACCCAGAGGGAAAGAGGCCAAGAGAAGCTGGTGGGGCCGTCAGAAGTGCTGTGCTGGCCATGGCTGGACACCCCCTCCCCACCAGCCTGGGGCCCAGGACAGCTTGCCCAGAGCTGGGTGGCGGGGGGGGGGGGGGGAAGGGGGGGCTTCTGAAGAAAGTCCTTGGGACCATGGCAGCAGGGGCAGTCCCTCTGTTTCCGAGGCTGGTGTCTGGGCCAAGCCTGAGCAGGAGGAGGGTCCGCGTGTGGACCAGCTCTCTGCTCCGATGGTGCCTCCGGAGGTCTGCTTGTGTGAAGGGCGCAGCAGAGCCTGGGGACTCAGCACCAGAGCCCTCCTGCCGTCCAAGGAGCAGTGGCACCAGATGCTCTGAGCGCGCCCTCAGGAGCCCCAAGCCCCAAAGAAAGGCCTCTGTCCCGCTCTCATGTGGGTGCCCAGCAGAATGTGTTGGGTGGGCGGATGGCACGTGAACGCATGTGTGAGCCCACCTGCACCCTGGCAAGGAGCCTGTGTTCAAACCAACAGGGTACACGGGCCACAGAGAGGCTGGCGACTCCTCGGGGGGTGACTCCAGGGGGCCCAGAACCCTGCTCCCAGGGACATATCCAAAGACTGAAAAACGTGTCCAAACGTGAACGTGTGCCCACATCCGGGGCAACGGCATCACAACAGCCACAGAGCCAAGCAGCCCGACTCCCCTTGATGATGAATAAAGGTGTTTGTCCAAACAACGGTATCATCAGCCCTAAAAAGGAGCCAAGTCCTGATACGCCTAAAACGTGGATCAGCCTGACGTCCTCCTGACCAGAAGACCCCTTCTCCTGCACTGAGGGGTGGTGCTGTGCACCCCTGCCCTGGGGGTCACCAGTGAGCTCGGTCCGGACAACTGGACCTGGTTCCTCCCGGAGAGAGTCCAGTCTGTCCACCTCCAAGACCACGTCCGACCTGGAGAAACCCGTGTTGCGCCCTGACTCGCGCAATAAACAAAGGAGTTACTTGTGAGAGCTGAGAAGCCCCGATGCGCCAACTACAAGCTGTCAGAGGCTCTCAGCGTTTCCGCACAGCTGGGTCGAGCTGGGCTGTGGCCACACCTCAGGCCACCTCCTGGGGTCCCCATGCCACCTGACCCAGCCACGCTGAAAGAGGCCTCCCACTGCTTGGGGGGGTCGGGGAGTCTTCCTCCCCAAGGGGCCCCATCCAGCAGGGGTGGACAGGGCGGGTGCCAGGCAGCAGGATGGGATCCTGTCCAGGCCTTACTCACCACCCAGGAGATGCTCCTGGCCTGGGTGCGTGGGCCACAGAGCTTGGCTGGACACCACGTGGTAACAGAGCCAACACCAGACACGCGTGTACAAGAGTCCTTGTGTGTGCATGTCTTTGCTCTGCCCTCCTGGTGGCCAAGGTACTCCCCTTCCAGCCTGCCTGCCCCGGAAGCTGCCTTGTGCAGGGAAGACAACTTGACCACTGGTCACAGCTTAGCCAGCCACTGTCACCAAGACCAGCAGCACGGTCTGGGCGGTTCCTGGGGTTAGGGGGCTGCAGAGCAACCCTGCTGGGGTCCAAGCTGGCAGTAGTGACAGGACAGAAGGGGTTCTCAAGCCCACGGTCCTGGGTGGGGGTGCATCCATAGACCCAGGGACACAGGCCTGAGGCTCCGACGGTCACCCTGTGGGCTGCAGGGACAGGGTGGCATCTCAGAAGGTCTTTGAGGGAGACCCTAGAATGAGTGGAGTTGGCCTCGTGGCAGCCGGGCCAGGAAGGTGAGGCTGAGCCTTGGGGATCCACAGCAAAGCAGGGACCCCTTGTCACTCGAGGGCCCTGTAAGCCCCGTGGGATCTACCCTACGACCCCCACAAGGCTTGGACTGGGCCTTTGTTTCAGGGGCCCCAGGCAGAGAGGCCAGGGCAGGTGGGAAAGCTGGAGGCGGCACGCGGCTGAGCTAGACGCCCCCCTCGTTAAAGCCCCCAACTCGGCCACACAGCGGTGGGCTCTCAGTGAGTATTCGCTGAACGAATGAGTATTTATTTCCCACAAATAGGCATTTGCCAGGAATCAGGCTGGGGCAGGATTTAAGGCTGTTGGGAGCCAAGAACATAGGCCACGCTGCCGGAGGGTGTGCCCAGCCTCGGAAAGGGCCCGTGGCCACCTGTACTGCTGGGAACCGCAGAGACACCAACCGCAAAAAAGATACAGCAGGTGCCGGCAGGAACAAGGACGTGTCACTAGGCACAGAAATGAAACTACTTTCTCAAGACGCTGCACCTGCCACACTGGCCAGGACCCCAGAGACGGGCAATGCCTGGTGTCAGGGAGCAGGCAGGGAGGGGCGAGGCGGCTGGGGCCAGCGTGGGGATGTACTGTGTGGGTCACATACCCAGCAGTCATGTCCCTCCATGACCCCCGAGGACGCTGGTCACCGAGGCCATCATAGGCATGCTGGGTGTGGAGGCATCCTCTGTAGACCCTGGAGAGTGCGATGGGGTCCTGGGTTTGCAGATGGGGGCAGCCTGGGAACCCTGTGGCACCGGCCAGAGTGGCTCCCCCGCCCCGCCCCTGGGGCCCACAGCGGTCTGGCTCCCGACTATACTCATCACTGTGGCCCCACAGTCAGCGGACACGCCAGGTCACTGGAGCAGGCCCCACACTGGGCCCACGGCCTGTAGGGTCAGAGCTTTGTGGCCAGGCCACGTGGGAACCTCTGGAATGTCACCCCAAGACAGTAAATTAGGGCCGGTGCCAAAGGCAGAGGGGGCGTCAGCCCAGAGGCCGGGGGGGGGGGGGGGGGGGGGGGGGGGGGGGGGGCTCTGGATCCAAAGCAACTCTGATGTGAAATCTCTAAAGCTATTTAGGGCGCTCGTTATTTTTTAAGGGAGTCGGAAGCTGAAAATAGCAGCAAACGCATAACAAAGGCGGACTCCTTGTTCTCCAAACACTGGGACGCTGTCTGCACAGGCCTGCAGCAGTCAATCAGCACTGAGGGCTCCATGCTCCGTGGCAGACGGTCACCTCCACAGACGGACGGCGGCCGAGCCCGGGGGTCAGAGGGCAGGGCGGGTCACAGCTCCTGGTGAGGTCCTGCTGGCTGCAGGGTCGAAGGCCAGAGCCTCCCCCCGCCCTGCACCCTCAGAGCCCCGGCCCTCCCAGCCCCCTGGGCCCCACGCTCCGCCCACGCTCACAGGGGCTCCCAGCCGCAGTGACAACAGTGGTGGCCAGTTTAGGACAACATGGTCACGGGCAGTCGAAGGTGGGCTCTGAGCTTCAGGTCAGAGCGTCCAATTATCTGAGGACATTGGGGCTGGGCTCCCAGCAGCCCCAACGCGGCCCCTCCAGTGGTGTTTACAGGCTCACACGGAGGCCTTTGTGACCAGGGAGCCAAGTCCACACCAACTCGCACATCCCATCCAACAGACGGGTGTGGGACAGGGGCTGCCCCCTCTCCGGTCCACACCCCTCCCATGACAGATCCTGCAACGGTCCTCAATTCTACCCAGCATCACACTAGACTCCGGAACTCACGTTAGGTAAAGAAGGGGGTGCACGCAAACTCTGAGGCCTGCGGTGCTGACCTGGATGGAGGGGCGCCGCGGCAGGAGCAGGATGACCCCGGGAGCCTGGAAAGTCTCTTCTGACCAAAGCTTCGTGCTGATGTGCGCCACCCCCTAAGACCGCACGCCATGGCGACCCGGCCTGTGCAGTCGTGGCAGCCACATCTCTGCCACATGACACTGGGCACCTGGCTCTTCTCCAACAAGCTTTTCGTGAAAAGAGAGCGATGGTTCTCAATTCCCTAAGCGACGGCATCCAAAGGCCCCATGGCCGTCCCACCGCGAGAAGGGAGCCAGCAGGACATGGCGGATGGGGGTGGGGTCACACGGCAGGGCTGACGCAGCCGCGCCACGGCCTTCTGTCTGGGCCCGGTGCCGTGCCCAGGGCGAGGCCCACCGGGCGGGGTTCCCACACTCCATCTCTGGGGTCAGAGCTGAGACTGGCCAGATGCGGCACAGCTGCAGAGGGGTCACGAGGCGCCAAGACAAGCGTCATCAGAAAATAGTTTAATTATGTACAAGCAGCTGCCGGGCTGGTCACGCACAGGAGGAGTCAGTGTCCACGAGTGGGATTCGGGGCGGGCCAGCTGAGCAGCGCGCTCTCAAGGCAATGGCCACTGGACAAAATGAAACAAATCACAAACCATGACAACCGTTGGGGGAATGTCATCAACACGTTTCCTTCAGGACCAGAAAACGAAAAGGAGACTCAGAGGCTCTGGAATGCTTTCTCTCCTCGTGCCGCGGAGTGGGGAGCGGCGTCTGCTACGCACCCTCCGGGGGTGGTGCCCACAACGGTGCGGGTGCGGCCATGTGAGCCCACGCCACGACGGCCACAGACAGGCCCCTCCAGGTGGAGCCCAGCAGTTTCTGGCTCCACGAGCCACATGCGGAGCCTCAACCGCCGTGGGCTTAGAAGAGGGGCCGGGAGCCCTGGCTCTCGAACTCGGCCCAAGCGTCACTCAGCTCCATGAAGATCATCCTGGCGAGCTGCTCGTATGGCTGGCCTGTGGCCTGAGGGATCGGACCAGGGGGTGAGGGGGCCTTGAACCTGCTCCCAGCTGCCCCCCCACCGCCGACCTGCTCACATGCCCCCCGCCCGGCGCTCACCTTGTCCGGGTGGACCGCCAGCACAGCACGGCGGTACTGTTTTTTCACCTGCCCGGGGGTCACCAGGTCGGCCATGCCCACAGGGGTCCAGCGGCTCTCCCCGTCCCACAGCACGGTGTGGAGGGTGGACAGCAGTGCACGGATGTTCCTCTCCTTGCCCTCCGTCCACTCCAGGAGCTGCGGGGCGGGACGCTCAGGTGCTGCCGAGCACGGGTCGGGGCCTCTGCCCTCTCTGCCCGCCAAGCCACTGGCCATCATCCCCAGGGCTCCATGCACGGTCCACCGCATGGGGCAAGGCTCTACCGTGAGTTGTTAGGACCAGACGCTGACCCAATGCCCCAGGACGATCAACAGTACTCCAGGGGCCTGACTACACATCACACAGAGGCCAGGGGCCTGGCTGTCAGCGGGACATTCAGAGACACCCTCCCACCGTGGCCCTGCCTGCCCCAGGATCCCAGTGTCCAATGAGGACAAGAGGCCTGGCTCCTGGGCGGGGGGGGGGGTTTCAGATGACCCCCAAGGCCACATCAGCCCTGGGGGGGGGCTTTCAGAGCTGCCCGGTGAACTGTCCTGCACAGAGAACACGCCCTGACCCGCCCCCCGCCCTGTCCCCTCAGCAGCGCTGCATCTCACAGCCAGCCATGCCCGGCAGATGGCCCTTGTCACCCCAGGTGCCCTGAGCGGCTCTCCCCTGGGCCAGGCTTGGCGCTGGGCCGGCTCACTGGCCTGATGGCACCGGGGACGGGTCCCACTGGTCAGGTCTCCAGAGGGGTGAGGCACAAAATCATCACCCCAAAACGCTTCTGGCAAGTCAACCAGGCCGAAACAGCAGCTGCCAGCTCTGCGAGCACCTTGGACCAAAGACCTTTTGCGTCCGAGAGGCTCAGGGTGAAGGCCAATCACGTCCGCAGCCCCGGGGTGCCCAGGCCGCCCTCACCTTCAGCTTGAGTGGGTCTGCGTCTCTGGCCTGCTCCTGCCTCCGCATCTCTGCCATGGTCCTGGGCCCCTTCCTGTCAGACTTGGAGGAGAACCCCTGATCGGACAGCAGGTCCTCAAAGTCGCTCTCGGACACTCTCGGCTTCTGACCTAGGGGAGAACAGAGGCTTGGCAGACGGATGCAGCGCCGCGGGCCCTGGCCGTGCGTGCACACCGGGGGAGACCCTCTGTGGAGGGCGCGGTGCTGCCCCCACACTTCGGGAGAAGCACAGCGAGGACGGTTCTGTCCCTCGGGAACGGGCCCCACATACAGAGCCCACAGCCTACACCACCATTTCTGGCTCAACGACCCTGAGGGCTCCAAGGACAGCCACCCCCGTCACCTCCTGGAGTCAACGTGGATGTGCCGTCTCCACGACAGACATGGCAGCCAGGCCCAGGCTAGAAGGCTCCCGGACAGCATGGGCCTGGCTGCCGCGTCCTGGCCCTGTGACCATGGCCTCCCCGAAGGCTGCCTGGCCCATGCCGGCCCGGGAACGAGAGGAACACACCGTGGACACGGTCCCCCCACAGCAGCCGCCCCCCCACGCCCCCCTCCCCCGAACACTCTTTCCCGGGGCGAGCTGTTAGTTGGAGAAAACAAAGCAGATTTTGCTGTAACTACTTCCCAGCAAACCAGGCAAAGCCTCACACGGGAGGGGGAGCGCAAACTCACCGAAGCTAGGGGTGCGGAAACCCCTCTCCTCTCGGCCGCCGATCACACTTAGGTTGGCGGTGTAGTTAGGCCTTGGCTGTGCACAGGCTTTGGGGGGTGGCTTGGCCTGCGGGGGCCATGGGGCGCTCTGGGCCGGGGGCCGACTGGTCTGCTGCCAGGAGCTGCCGCCTGAGGGAGGGGGGGCGGTTTTAGGGCCGAAACCTCCAGGAGCAAATCCAGCAGGCGAGCCTAGGGAGACAGTTCACAGTGGGCGAGTGTCAGACGTGACAGCTGCTCAGTCCCCGAAGTTCCCAGCACTCAAGCCCGCACACATGCTGGAAACGGACACTCAGCTCAGAGGCCAGGACGGGGCAGCCGTCAAGGTGGCCCCCGCAGCTGGACGGTCCCCAAGGGCTAGGGGACAGTGGGGACAAGTGCTGCTTCTTTAACTTTTGACTTGGAACCAGGTGGAACCAGACTGCCGGGAGGCCGCACGACGGGCTCCAGGGCCCCCAGGCCCGGCTCACGCAACTCGGGCTGTGCCAGACCAGCCGCCCAGCACCTGCCAGCTGGAGGGCACACCGGCGTGTGCGCGTGGTTAGCACGTGCACGCATCAGGACGCTCCTCTGCTCTCCATCTCCGGGACTGTCAGTTCAAGAATGTTCTAGAAATGGAAGCAGAGAGCAGGTGAGCTCTGCAGTTGGTACCCTGTGCTCAGGACCTGTTCCTGCTCATTGCTGAGGAGCGTCCCATAGTAGTGACACACGGCGGGAGGTCTGTTCAATCACTGGCCCTTGGGAGGGCCTCACGGCTGGCTCTGGTTTTCGGCAGTTCCGAACGAGGCTGCTTTGAACACTGTGCACAAAATCCTGTCCTTTCTCTGGGATGAATGGCAGCCACACATCTACTTTCTTGAGAAACCGACGGACTCTTTTCTGGAGCGGCCGTGTTGTTTCACGTTCCCACCAGCCACACGGGTGAGACTGTTCCCCCCGATCCCCATCAGCGCCTCGTGCTGCTAGTGATTTCACCGTGGCCACGTGCTCGGGGCACCCCCGCAGCCCTTCCAGTGGCTACCGCGTCACGACCCACCCATTTTTCTAAGTGGGTTTTTGTTTTCACCGTTCTCGTGTACCCTCGCTGTGAGTTCTAGGTCAGACACGCGGCCCAAGAATGCTCCTCCTACGTCTGCATTTCATCTTTCTATCTTTCAGCAAAGAAGATGTCGTTCTGATGAAGTCCAAGGTTATTTTCTGTGTCACGGTTCGTGGCCTAGGGGACAGGTAAACTGAGCCCTAGGCCCCAGAGATATTCCCCTATGTTTTCTCCTACGGGCTCTGTCATCTCTCACATCCACGCTTAAATCTATGACCCGTTCTGAGCCCCCTGGCACGGGGACGTGAGGTTTAGGGAGTGTTTCTGCCTGCGGAGGCCGCATCGCCCCAGCACCGTCTGCGGGTGGCCGGGCACCTCCGTCGAAAACCGGCTGGGCCCGCACGTGTGGGTCCACATGTGGGTCCCGCTGCGTTCGGCTGACACCAGGCGGTGCCGACTTCAGCAGCTACAGACTAAGCCTGAAGCCGGGGGGAGGGACGCCTCCCACACCATTCTTCCATTACAGAAATACTCCCGTCACTCAGGGCCTCCGACTCTCCACACAAGTGTTACTACGAGCTCGCCCGTGGCTCCAGAAACCCTCACCGGGCTTCCTGGTAGGAAAGCTGGTGCTCAAGCCACAGACCCGTGAGCGCAGTCTGCCTCTCCACGTGCCCCCGCCATCCTCACCGGGCCTGCGTCCGCCAGCCCCGGAACACAAGCCCACGCCGTTTACCACCAACAGCCTCTCCTACACCGTTGACGGGGTCGAGGACAGCTCCTGCCTGGCCCGGGACAGGGTGGACTCTGTTAACTAGCCGTGGAATGGGGAACAGCCTCGCGTTCCCGGAACGAACCCTCCATGGTTGTGGGGCACAGCTCGTTCTGAGCGACGACAAATTCTCTTTGCCTCAGCTGTGCTGCAGACGTCTGCATCTGCATTCATGAGGGACACTGGCCCCACGGGCGTCTTTTCTCGTACGGACCCTCGATTTGGGGGTCAGGGTAACACCGGCTCCCCAAGACCACCTGGAAGGCATCTGTCCTCTTCCCATTTCCCGGAAGACGCCATGTGGATTGGTTCGAATTCTTTAAACATTTGGTAAAATACCCCTTGTGGGGTCCTGTCGACTCTGAACTCGTTCCCGTCACGGTCACGGGGCTCCCCAGGGGTGGACTCTGCGCCAGCTGGGTTCTGCTGGTGGCCGGCGCCCAGGAGTCCGGGTGTCCCTCGTCACCCTCCAGAGCCTCTAGGTCTGCAGGGACCCCCCCTCCCCCCCCCCCACCTCACTCCCGACGTCGTCCTTCCCAACTGGTTTTAATAGAGCTTTGTCTTTTTGTCTATTTTACGGGTTTCTGACTTCTCTTCATCTTTTCAAAGAATGAGGTTTTGTTTCTGTTTCACAGACCCAGGCGCTTTTCCCATCTCCCTTCTTTTTGCTTGGGGTTTATCTTGCTGTCTTTTCAAACACCCGTGGGGCGGGTCACGACACGGCTCAGAGGGTCCCTGGTGCCCAGAGCCCACGTGCTGCCCTGTGCCCGCTCAGCCCCGCCAGGGCCGTGGCCCCGCACTTCGGGATCCCACGCCGCTTCCTTCCGCCCCGCACGCTGCCCCGTCTCCTAACGGCCCGTGTGTGCCCGGCGTGCGAGCGTCTGAAGACTGAACGCTCCCCTTGCTGTTGCCGGTTTCCAGTCCATGTGGTCAGGGAACCACCACGGTCTTGGTGATGTCGCCCCTTCAAACGTGCCGAGCTTTGCTTACCAAGGCCCAGATGCGCCTGGGGAGAGTGTGTGCTCTGTGCTGTTGGAGCCGAGCACTGGGAGTGTCACGGGGCCCTCCCGGCCAGGGACGCCTCCAGCTATGCTGACCTCATGTCCTGCGGCTCTGTCATTTGTCGAGAGGGATTTGATGTCTGCAACTAGAGTCTGACTTCGCCGGTTTCTCCTTTCCATCTGCCAGCTCTCCCCAGGACTCCCTGCTTCCCGAGCATGTGTGATGAAGGATCTGGGGTCACAGTGCAGACCTGAACGCCAGCCTCCATCCCAAGAATGGGTCACTCGGGACCCAAGCCCAAGAGGTCCTTCCCCCCAGCACCCCAACAGGACTTGGGGCCAACAGCCTGGCACCACACAGGAGGCTCCGGGCAGCCCACCCCTCGCGTGAGTGGCCTGGGACACAGGCCACACAGGGGGAGACGGCCAAGGGCAAACTCAAACTCCCAGGAATGCCCTCAGAGAGACAACGCAACCTGGAACACAGGAACGTATGAGAACAAAACTACTCAAAGAAGAAGAGCCACAGGGACCCAACAAGACAGACGCAGAATGAGCCCCAATATGGCAGAGACGTGGGCGGCGGGAGTGGGGAGCGTCCAGTAGACCCAATGGGCATCACAAGAAGGGAGCAAGGAAGTACAAGCGCGTCAGAGGCACAGCGGTCTGCCCGGCACTGAGGAACATCAGGCCCCAAACCACACCGATGCTGTGCCAGGCGCCATGCGGGCTGCAGGGAACACCCACTATGCTCCAGGAGGAGGAGGGCACGGTCCTGAGGCCCCACTGCCAAGCAGACATTATCTCCAGTGCCAGCCAACCGGCAAGGGATAAGGGACCGCTCACTCATGGTCCCAATGCTCCCCACACATCTGTAGGAGCCACAGGGGCCCCGAGGACACACGTCCCCGGCACAGATGCTGGGGGGGGGGGGGCGTCTTGTCCACACATCCGCTGCTCCCAGCCAAGTCCCTGCCCCCTAGATGGCCCATGCGTGCCTGACACTTCTCGGTGTTAGCGTGGTTCACAAGCACCTGCAACGAAAGCACGGCCAGGGACAGACAGCCTGCACCCTCCTGGGAGAGGCGCTCCTCCAGCGCTCCAGCCCCCTCACACCCAATGGGGCGGGCACGTCACCTTGGAGGCCAGAACTGAGGTCACCGAGGTCTGCAAATGGGTCCAGGCTCTGAGACTTGGTCCGGCTGGCCGAGGGGCCGGGAGGGGCGGGCTGTCCTCCAGCAGAGAAGAAAGGACCTGGAGAAGGGCAGAGAGAGCATGAGAAGGCGCACCCACGGGGTGCTCCTGAGGCCACGCCCAGCCAGCGGCAGCACCCACGCCAGCTCAAGACACGGCCCTGCACGCAGCCACAGCCGCTCCTTAAGCAGCTAAGGAGATTCCTCCCACTCTGACCCTGTAACCCCACTTCCCAGAACGCATGTAAAGTGTGACCGTGCTAGACGACAACCCTCACAACAGTCACAGCGGAAGATGTTCTACGTCAGACGCTGCGGTATCTGAACCAGTTACCACCATAAACCCCACAAGGGAACGTCGCATGATCTTTACAAATGACGGCTGTTCATATACAAAAAGTTTCGTAAAAATTAATTAAAAAAAAAAAAAAAAACCACAACTAAAAACATGCAAAATAACAGTCGATTTCCTTCAAAATGAAAAAATGCAAATTAAGAGAACTATGTATCAAATTAGCAACCCTGGTGAGAACCTCAGGCTTGGGACTGCTCCCAGGTGAACAAACAGATGGCCCCCGAAAGGGGACACAGGTCACAGGCTCTCGACAGCAACTCGCTACTGGAACGTTCCCAACAAGACAGGATCCCAGACATACAAAAAGAAAGATGCACGGAAAGGGTGGGGCACCGCCCCTGCGCTGGCCACGCACCTTCAGGAGGCAAAGGAGCCACGCAGACAGGACGCCACCAGGAAGCGCTACAGGACCCCTCGCAGCACAAGCCGTGAGCAGGCAGAGCCTCCCGCAAGCCCCCCCACCGGCCCCGGCCCACAGGCCTGGGGGAGCGGGGTCCCAGTCCCATCCCGTACCAGACACAGAGATACCAGAGCCTGGCGGGGGCCCGCCTGAGAACTGGTCTCCACAGGGCCGGGCTCGTACCTTCACTAGCAGGAGCAGGGGCCGGAGCCTCGGCCCAGGCCTCCCACCCTCCCAGCAGATCCGGGTGGCTGGCCGAGGTGGTCATCTTGCTGGGCTCTGCTGGTATATCCCCTGGAAAGATAGCAACGCTGTCTGGGGCGCCCCCTGCTCGGGGCAGGCAGTCACGAGCCCCCTCTCTGGGAGGCTGGGAGGGCACCCTCTGTCCCCCCTCACGTGTGAGCAGCAGGCTGGGAACAGAGCAGCCCCCGAGGCATTCCTGGCCGACCCCCAGGGTCCCCGGGGAGCTGCACTGGGCTCGGTCCACACTGACCGGCTTCTTGCTTCTTCGGGGTCTCGAGGACACATCATGTGGTCACTGAACTTGCCAACTGGACAATGGGGTCAGCAGCTCACAGAGCAACGAAAGTAGGTCTTCAAAGGCCTCCCCACCCTGTGGCCACACGTCCTCCCAGATATGTGCTGATGCCCCCAGAATCTGCCTTCACCAGTCCCCTGAGGCCCCGCCCCGTGCACGGGCTGGACACCCGCAGGCTGTCACCTTCCCAGGGGAGAGGGGAGCTGTGGCAACTCAGGGTCCACAGCAAGGGACGTCGCTGCCCACCCTCCAGGCCTCGACCTTGGCACTTACCCAGGTGCAGGAAGTCGGTGTTGCAGGCTAGGGGCGGGGCGCTGTGGGTGGAGGGGAAAGAGGTGGGAGCAGCAGGAGGTTCTGGATTAAGAAATTCGCCAAAGAGGTCGGGCTTGGAGCAGGGCTGGGTGTCTGGACCAGATGGCAGGAGGAGAGGATCAAATGGGTCGGCTGCAGAAGGATACCCAAAAAGCAGGTGGAGGTGAGGCTGTGCGTGAGTGCCTTTGGCCCAAAACATCAGGCACGAGGCTAAGTCCCAGCCAGCACAATGGCCCCTCAGACCCAGGATGAGGCCACAGCATCCTCTGTAAGAAGGCACCGAACAGCCTGATACCCTCGCCTTAGACTTTTCTTGGAGAGGCAGCCTGTGGGGGAAGGGCTGGCAGTTCCTGGGATGGACGGGAGTGTCGGGGGGGCCTCGGGAATCTGACCCTCAGAGCAGCCACCTCGGGCCATCGCGCCCTGGGCTGCCCTGCCCCCCCCCCCCAACCCCCAAGTGGGTGGCCGAAGGGCAGGGCACTGAGCTCCTCCCAGGTAATTTTGATGGCGAGGCCAGACAACTAAAGCCTTAGTATCCTCTACTCCCCACGGGACGGATCCACGTACCGGCCATGGCCGGCCCTTCTCGGGGTGGGCTCTGCGCACTCAGGGGCGGAGCCGAGCTTGTGAAGAGCAGGGGGGCATCGCCGCCCAGCAGGTCGCCCGGGGGGACTTCCGGGGCAGTGTCAGGCGCCCCCAGGAGGCGGCTGAGCAGGTCGGCGTTACTGGGGACCGCCCCGCAGGCCTGCACTGGGGGTGCCGGCCCCGTCCCAGAGTGCAGCCCCAGGAGGTCGACGCTGTCCTCCTGCGACGCAGGCTCGTGCGGCGTGGCCGGTGTGGCCGCGTCAAAAATCGACTCTTGCTCTTGCGCCCTCCCCGCTGGGCCCGGTGTGTCCTCCTCAGCCGCGTCCCTGCCTTCGGCTGACAGCGTGGCCACCTCCTCGTCGGACAGCTCACTCCCGCCCGCATCCGCGGCCGGGGCTGGCACACTCTCCTTGGCGACATTGCTTTCTGGGCCCGTCTCTGTGTCTTTCTCCTCTGAAAAGAAAACCACAGGCTGCCGTGGCCGGAAGGCAGGGCACACGGGACGGCAGGGTGAGGCCACGTCAGAAGCCCAGGAGAGGGGCGGGGGCCGGGGGGGGGGGGTCTGGAAATAGCCGCGTGCACCCTGCCAGATGCCTCTGGGTGCCCCGCACCCACCGTGCCAGTCCAGCGTGTGGAGGAAGTGGCTGGTGTCTGTGCCGCTGCTCTGTGGTGAATCGGACTCCGTGGGCTCGGCATCGGGAGACCCCGCCTCGGCGTCGTACTGAGCGGTGGAGCCGGGCTGCCTGGGGAGCTCTGGCTTCCCTGCCGGGGCGGAGGTGCGTCAGGAACCCCGCCCACAGGGTCGGCCGCCCAATTCCAAACCCCTGGGAGCCCTGCACCGACGAACCACGGGGGGCCCGGTCGGCTCAGACGCACACACCACACGTGCAGACACCCCCGCCTCTCAGGGACACAGCTGTCCTCGTCAGGAGGACGGAAAGCACGCGGCACGAGGACCGAAGACCACCGTGCCAGAGTCAGCAGCCGAGACCACAGGCCCGGCCGCTGAAGGACCGCCTGTACCCGTACCGCCCGCGGGTGCTGAGCACAGCCTGGACTTTTTCCAGGTACATTTAAAACAATGCACGTCCGGGGCGCCTGGGTGGCGCAGTCGGTTAAGCGTCCGACTTCAGCCAGGTCACGATCTCGCGGTCCGTGAGTTCGAGCCCCGCGTCGGGCTCTGGGCTGATGGCTCAGAGCCTGGAGCCTGCTTCCCATTCTGTGTCTCCCTCTCTCTCTGCCCCTTCCCCGTTCATGCTCTGTCTCTCTCTGTCCCCAAAATAAATAAACGTTGAAAAAAAAATTTTTTTTTAAAATTAAAAAAAATTAAAAAAATAAAAAATAAAAAATAAAATAAAACAATGCACGTCCAGAAAATTAACCCTCCCTCAACGAGCAAGCGACTCAAACCTGCCCCTCCCAGCGGGGCCGTGATGACTCCTCGGGCAGGGCTGCCTAGGGCCCCGGGGGGGTCTGGGAGCAGCCGTGGCTGCGTGAGTCCCCCCATGTCGGACGTTCAGGCTGCCGTCGGGGAGGGTCTCAGGTGGGGGCTCTGGGCCTCCCTACGCCGTGCCCACAGCCTGACACGGGGATGGGGCAGGCCCGGCCCCTCAGGCTTTCTCGAGGCTGCAGGTGTCAAAATGGCATCACTGACCGTGTGTTTGGAAAACAAGGATCTCACCAAATTTAGACAGAATATCTTGCTGCTCCTCTCGGCTGGAAAACAGGATTTTGGGGTTTAGCCCCCTCATGCTGGTGCTCTCCCAGGGGGGGGGCCTCCCGGCTGGGCCTGTCTCTGGGCTCCACCTCCACCTCTAGGTTCACTTGGAATAAATCCGGGTACTTCTCCTGAATGTCACACGCGTCCAGGTCGTACCTGCAGTTGGAAGGCCAGATGCCAGTTTAAGAAGACCTTCATGGGTCAGTCGCTCCACATTCACCAGAAAGTGAGCACAGAAAGGCCCGTGTGCTCACCCCTCAGGTCCCGGGGTCCGGCTCGCGCACTACAGGGATCTTAAACGCGTGTTTCCGTAACACAAGGCCGTCCACCCTGGCAAAATCCCCCAACAGTTAACAGGTGCCAGTAAACAAGCCCTCGGGAGTGCCTGCAGAGTGGGGAGGGTGGCAAGGGAAAGGCACGCAGGGCTCACGGCCAGCGGGAGGGGTGCTCCCGTGGGGTCTGTGGCTGCCAGGTCACTGAACTCCTGTGGGCTCTGTGTCTCTCTAGGGAACTCCGGCGTCTCTCTCCGTATTCCAAGAGACTGTGACTGACCACGTTTCCATAGACCGTGTGGGGAAGCCCTGGTCTCCAGCTGGGCAGCAGGCTCCCAGCTCCGTCTGACATCACCAGGCACCCACGTGCACAGCCGACGGTCCAACTTTATCAAAACAACACAATGACAAACACCCCACGGAACACAGAACAGGGCAGAGGTTCCCCCAGCGGCCCATGCTGTGGAGGGAGGGGCCCTGTGGTCCTCTGCGGCATCCGTGTGACACCTACGGCACCAAACGAAACACAGCCACTGGGCAGAAGGACTGTGGACACAAGGGCAATGTGGTCGGTTTGGGTGCAAAACCCGTGGCAGACTTTAAGTCTTACTCCCATGGAATAAACTAAGTAAGCAGGTGGGACGCTGACCCTTCCCACCTTGGCGTGAGGGGAGGCAGCACAGAGGCGTGGCAGTGCTGGCGGGGACAGCCCTGCCCTGAAGACACCACTCCTCCTGCAGGAGCCACGTGGGCACAGGAGACTGGCCGCAGCACCCTCTGTCCACTCGTCTGCTTGTCCTGGCCCGGGCCCCCCACTCGCACGCTTCCTTCCTCTGTAAGTCGGGCCACGACAAGGAGACATGGGCCACCATGCGGCCAGGCAGGAGCAGCTAGTGTGGGGACCACAGTGGTGAGCCCGAAGCAGTGAAGCCAGCAAGGACCAGGGGAGACCTAGACCCCCAGCCACAAGGAAGGGAGGAAGGAGCAAGGTGGGGGCCCCACAAAGAAGAACACGACTTCTGCAGGCTCAGCTCCTGGGGTAACAGGGCCTTGCGGGCAGCTCTGGGTGCCACACTGGTGGCCACCCCATCTCCCCACCTCCCCACCCTGGCGGGCCCCCGGAGACGACCTCAGGGCCGGGGCCTGCCCTGCCCGCCAGCAGGCCAGTGAGGGAACAATGAGGGTCTGTGAGCAGGGCCACGACCCCCAGGGGCCCTGCTCTTCAGGAGGCACGGGTCAGCCCCGGGGCCCGACGTGCTCGCTGACTCGTGTCCTGCCCCCTCAAGCACACTGGGGGACCCTCCGTTAGTCACAGGGGCCTCCTCGAGGACAGACCCAGACCCAGTCAGGCGTTATCTGACAGTGGGTCCACTAACACCCTTCCAAATCCTTTCCCCAAACGGTCCTGCTTCAGACAGCCTCTCTGCAAAATGAATGCTACCCACAGAAGACACACGCCTTCCTGCACCAACCAGACGACTTGAGAATTCTCTCCTTATTTATTTTTGGAAGCACGACACACACAGTGAGGCACAGATCCGACTGCAGCTCAGTGAAGCTCTGTGCCCGAATACCAGGACTGTCCAGCCTCCAAGGAGGTCCCTACGCCTCTCCACCCTCAGAGGGAGCCACTCCCTGGTCCCCCGGCACCCAGAGCGGCCCCCAGAGTGTCCGAGCCGACTCCTCCCCAGAGGGGGGGGGGGCAGGTCCTGGTACTCCCCTGTTCGCTGGGTAGGAGACAGGCACAGGACGTGGGCTACGGCAGGCGGAGGTTTCCAGAGACCCCCTCCGCTCCCCTCGCCCTGGAGTGGCACCTGTGTGGGCGTGTGGGCATGTCTGCGTGCGAGACAAAGGGGAAAACACGAGCTGCAACCAAGATGCCCACCATGCAGACCGTCCAACTGCCTGAACGCCCCTGCCCCCAACAGAAGCCCTGACGCCCGCCACGCGCTGGGGGCAGGTCAGAGAGCACGACAAACTACATAGAGCCCTGGATGAGGCAAGAGAATCATCCTCGACTGCACGCGCTTCTGTTCTCGTCTCTCACCCCAGACGACGACCTTCTCTCAACGCCCTCTGCCCTCCGTGCAGATCACAGCGTCAGGGACCCCACGTGTGGAAGAGCAACACACACCTGTTCACCTGGCTGTCCCACATCCGGTGCGCGAACGGCTGCGTTCTAACAGGAACTGCACCGGGCTAGTCCCCAGCCAGAGGCGCACAGCAGCAGCCACCGTGGCCCCCAAATGAGGGGCCACACACCGGACGCCGGGCCACGCTCAGAGTGGGGTCGAGACCCGAGACGAGCTCAGTGCAGCAACCCGGCCACGCACGAACCATGTCACTCTGCCCGTGTCCAGTGCGTGGAGTTCATCGCTGTGGGGCGCAAAGCGGGGCGGGGAGGCACCGTGCACCTGACTGTCCTGACCCCTCCCCACGTGAGACACCACATACTTTGCAAATTTCACGGTAGCTGCGTTCCGAGGCACAAACCCAGTGTGGAACTGGACCTGGAACATCTTCATGGATGCCACCTGCAGAGGGGACACAGACAGGGGACCCTGAAGCTGGGAAGGGGACCCAGACAGGGGACCCTGGAGCTGGGGAGGGGACACCAGACCCTCAGGTTGCAGACGGACATTTCACAGTTCCTGGGCTCTGAGAATCCGGTGCACGCCTCCAGGTGCTGTGGCCGCACGGACGGTGGGACAGCAGCCTCTCAAGTGGCTCCTCGGGTCTGTGACGGGGCAGCCCCAAAGCCACAGCCCAGACTCCCCGCGCAGACGGCACCCCGCAATGGGGCACTCGGGGAACTCGGGTGTTCCGAGCTCACGGCCCCTCTGCCTCGTGCCCCACAGGCTGACGGCCCAGGGGGCCCGAGCCCCCGCGCACCTTGGCCTGAAGTCTTCCACCCAGCGTGGACCTTGCATGGTAGATTATGATGAGCACGTCTCCCTGCACGGTTATGCCCAGGGGAATGACTGCCTTGCCATCCTCGATTTTAAAATCCCTGAAGAACAGGACGAGAAAAGGTTCACTTCCGCCAAAAAGACAGCTTGCCAGCCAAGAACAGCCAAGGGAGCGTGGGGTGCGAGCCCCGAGCTCTCCTAAAGCACCAACACTTTGAGCCACACCTTCTTCTGCTACTGGGCGCTTCTGGGAGGGGGCAGCGCTGAAACGGACTTCTGGGGAGCTGGCCCTCAGCGCGCTGGCCCGGACCCGCCCGCCCCGGCCGCCACCTGCGCCCACTCTCGGGGGTTCCCAGAGGAAGGAGGGGCCGGGAGAGCCCCGCACTCACCGCATCTTGTCGTACTCCTGAGACGTGGTGGTGACTCGCTCGTCCCCCACATACACCTCGCAGAAGGGCCTACAGCCGTTTCTCTGCTTGCTGAACAGAGGCACGGGCGTCATGACCACGGCTTTCACCAGGATGGGCTTGCTGTGGGGCGTGATGGGTTCCTCGGCCACCATGTCACACACGTACTCGATGTACCTGCGGGGGCCGGAGGCACACCTCGTCCCACACGTGCTCGCCACACGTGCTGCACCCCCGGGGCTCTGGTCTGCTCGCCACACTTTTTTCCAACAGATACGAGTATTTAATGCTATGTTCAACTTTATCTCATAAATTTGATATATTTTCATTTGTTTTAAAATATTTTTAAACTCTCCCTGAGACTTTTTTTTGACTCACGGGTAATTTACCAGTGGGTTAATTTCAAAACATTTAGGGATTCTTCCAGTTTTCTTTGCTATCAATTTCTTTTTCTTTTCTCTTTTTCTCTTTAAGATTTCTTTAATTTCTTACAGTAACGCCTAAACCCCCAACAGGGCTCAAACTCACGACCCCAAGCAAGAGTTGTGTGCTCACGACTGAGCAAGCCAAGTGCCCCAATCTGTTACCAATACCTAGCGTAATTCTATTATAAACACAGTTTGTGTGAGTTTGCCACAGTTTAATGGCCAGAACATCTTTCCCGCTGAATGGCCCATGACCACTCAAAAGACCTTGTCTTTTCCAGTTGCTGGGTAGAAGGTTCTCGAGAGATCATCCAGCTGGTTGCCGGCGACGTTCCGTTCCAAACCGACCATCCGTGTACTAGTTCCATCCGCTGCCGAGGTGGGAACGCCGATGCCACGGTGAACACCCATCTCCGTCAACGGGTTTTCGGCTCTGCAAGCTTGATTTCTGCTCTCAGGACACTCGCGCCTCCAACTCTCCCGGGTGGTTTTCTCGGTGCCCCCGAGGTGCACACACCAGGCGCGTGTCCCTGCCCTTGTGTGACCCCGTCCCCTCGAGATGGGGAAGGAGTGGTGACTGGCTTCCCAGCAGAGGGAGGGAGAGAAGGGAGGCCGCTTCTGAACGCGAGGCTCACACTGCATTGCGCTAGCGTATCCGTGCAGGGGACTCGTCCCCACGCCACAGGAGACCCGGACGCCCACACCACATCTCTGTCCACACGAGTGAGTCCTGTCAACACCCTGAGCGAGCTTGGACACGGGCTGGAGGAGGAGGCAGCAGACGTTCTCTGCGAGGTTTGTGCCACAGCACAGCCTGGCCGCACCCCAACGGCAGACTTGGGAGGTGCAAGCCGGGCCGGGACTCCCTGACCTGCAGAGGCAGAGGGCGCGTGCGGACGGCTGAAGCCGCCGGGCCGGTGGCGAGGAATCAGGCGGCAGCTGTACGGCCACCATTCCCTGTCCTGACGGCAGAGGCGGGGCCCCTGCAGCCAGTGCATCGCTGGTCCTGCTTGTATAGGGTCAGACAGTCCCCGAGGCTGGCACATGCAGACCCTTCACGCTCGGCTCCTGCTGCAGCCGTGTTCCAGTCACCATCTTGCTGGCTGTTCTCTGTTCTTGACTTCTTCTTCGTTGGTCTTTTCTTGAGGCGAGTGAGCATTTTTTCTAATCCGTTTATTCCCTCTGCTGACCTGCTGACTCCAGTTTGTGAAACCGTCTGTCCCGGCTGCCCCGGGCGTCCGACAAGGACAGCAGCGTGGTCTGTGCCTTCTCCCTCTGGTGACCTCGAGACCTCTGGGTGTGGTCTCCAGTGGACGGGGCGTGCTGAGCCTGAGTCGGCTTCCCACCTGCCTGTTTTGCATCCTCTGACCTCTGGACATCTGGCGACTCATTAATTCGGGGAACTTCTCGGCTACTGCTTCTGCACGTTGCCTTCCTGCTCTGCCTCCCGCAGCCACTCGACACGGCCTGGCAGGCCCGGCTGCTCAGCCCCTCATCCGTGGTCTGTCTTTGGGCTCTGGCCTCCGTGACGCCACCTGTCCTGCCTTCCAGAGGCCGAGGCTCCTCCCTCGGCTGCCAGGACACAGCCCTTCTCAGGTCCAGAACTTGCGTTCGACTTCTTCTTACAGTTCCCATCTCTGACGTGACCACGTACTCCTGTGTCTTACCCATCTCCTTCCTCAGTACCCTCAACACGTTAAACACTTGCTTTCAATTCCCATCAGATACTTTCGGGCCTTGTCCCAAAGCCACTCAGACTCCCGCCTGTCCCACAGGGGGACACCCTTTGTCCCTGCGGAAGCCAGCCAAGATTCAGGAGGGCACAGGCTCCCCCAGCTTGCGTGGCCTTGCCCACTTCTGCACAAGGGCCCTCAAGTCTCCCCACCTCTCAACACCCTCGGCTACGACCTGCCCGAGGGCGACACCTGTACGCACCCCCAAGGTGGGATACCGGTCGGTACCTTTTGTGAGACGGCCAGATGCCTGGCGGGCAGCGCTTCATGCTGAACATGTACACGGCGGCCTCTGCGGTGCTGAAGAGCCGGCAGAAGCACAGGAAGGAGCAGACGGCCACAGCAGAGGCAGCTCTCCCGTCCTAGGACAAGCGGCACAGGCCAGGCTCGCGCGGCCACAGCTGCAGGAAGGCAGGCTCCCTGATCCCACGCTTCCCCACAGAACCACCACAGGGCCTCCCCCTGGCTGGGGACGTAGGAAGACACCCCTGCTGGGGCAAGAACTCAGAATCCAGAAAGACAGGGGCTCTTTAACAAGAAGCACATGATGGCCTGCCCCTCCAGCTGGACACTGCTCACCACCACGGTCCCCAAGCGGGCCTCACGCTCACCGCCACCCCTCTGTACTCGCTCTCTTCATCACACCTCCTGGGAGGACCTTTATCAACACCAGAATCGCAGCACTAACCTCTGGGGCTCATTGCGGCAAGCATCCCGCTTTCTGTGACACCCAGAAACCTAACCCTCGCTGTGCAGGTGGGAAACTGGAAATTACTGTCCTCAGCCACGGTAAGGAGGGGCAGAGACGGGGGTCCTATGAGGCAGAGTGGCCTCAGGGCACAGGGAGATGACAGAGTGACACACGGAGAGACCCCTCATGTTCTACAAAGAAAGGTACGGGGACCACCTGTGTGGGCTCACTGCCCGTGCGTGACAGTCGGCCAACCGCTCCCTCCAGGGTCTACCTTGAAACGACAGGGACCGTGCCAGGGCACCCGGGCCTGGGGCCACCAGCTGCAGACACCAGGACAGAACCCGCTCCTCACACGACCTGCCCCAAGTCCCAGTGCTAGCCCAGGACGTCCCAAACAGACCCTGGCTTTCAGGAAGCCAACAGGCAGCTGATGTTTGGTAGCACACTCGACACTGGACAAGGAGGCTTCCCCCCGCGAGTGGTCACTGCAGGTGACCCACGTCCTGCCAGGGCTGGGCCGTTACTGGTTAAGGCCTGTAATTGTGCAGCGGAAAACAGCACCCTGCCTGGACCTCAGCTCAGCTCATCTTCACCGGCATTCAGGACACCCAGCCGCCCCACCGGCCCCCCCTGCTCGGCATTCTGGACTTCACTCCTGCTCTCTGTCCCCTCAACGGGTCATGAGCTTCCCCAAAGCAGGGATGACTCCCCCTGGTTTATGTTTTCTTCCCAGGTGCGCCCCCAACATCAAGGGCAGGGATGAGGCAGCCTCCCACTCACCACACAGTGCACAACACAGACGTTCTTGTGGTCTTGCCTGAGCCACGAGTGCATGTTCCTGCAAACGCTGTACAGGCTGCGAAGGCTCGGGGCCCGCCGGGCCGCCCAGCCACACTCGGAAACCTATGGGCAGAGGGCTCGGTTCGGCCTGGGTTCCCCACACCAGTTGGGGGCACAAGCACAGGGAGCCCCACCACGGGCACCCACTCTGGACAAATGCTGCCTCACGCACACCTCCCTCCCTCCCTTGCCCACGGACGTCTGCAGGCCTCCTGCCCCTGAGTTTTGTGCTCCAGAATATGTACCAAGCTTTGCAGACTTGGCAAAAAAGAACGGAGAACCTGTCCTTTCCCATGCTCGGGTCAGGAAGCCGCACCTGTGTCCCATGTGTAGCCTCACATGTGCCTCACTGGCAAGGAACAGTGAGGCATCGGTGATTTTTAGCCATCCTTAGGTGACCGTCACAGTTCACGTTCTGGAGTCTTCTGCGAGAATAGCCCTGCCCCCGCAGCCTACTGCACATGGGCCCCGCGTCACCGTACCCCAGCCCCCCAGCGCCAGGGACCTGGGCTCCGCTGGCTGCCACGGCTGCCGCTGGGGACTGCCAGAGGCCAGCCCGCTGCCACAGCTGGGTGTGAGGGTTGACAGTAAGAGAACCGCACGCAGTGAAGGCAAGCGCCCAGGCCACCCACCCGGTTATGAAACTTGGAGGGCCGATACGTCCTCGGGGAGAGGTTGTAGACCGCATAATGTCCTGGGTGCTTGGAGTCCAAAAACAACCGGACGTCTTCTATGTTGTTCTTGATAGCCGACTCCACACCTTCTGCTGGGAATGACATCACTGAAAGAGAGCAGCCCACGTCAGCCACAACGGGGCGGGACACGTGGCCTGTGTGTGGCAGCCTCACCGGCCAGTGGCAAGACAGCCGGCCACCCAGGCCCCTGCTCCTCACCCGCCGCCCCCCGCTCCAGCTGCTGACTGAGGAGTACAGGGCGTGTCAAGAACGGAGGGAGCACAGACCCCCACCCCCTCCAATGCCTGCCATTTACAAGCAAGACCCTCTGGGATCTCCAGACAGTGCCTCTGGGACAGAAGTTCAGTCAGAGGGCCTGCCACAGAGCAGCGTCTCCAAGGGTCGAGATTTGGGTGTGGGTTTGGTCGGGAGACCCAAGTTTCAAATGTGCCTTGCATCATTCCCCTTATGACCTCAGAGTTCCAGGAAGTTCCAGACCAGGGGGAGAAACTGGGTCGACACTGGCACTGTCCACTGCAGGTGCCCCAGGCCACATCCTGCACGCTCTGCCTGACACTGAAGCAAGGGATATGCTGGAGGCCAGCGTCCCACGAGTTGTCCTCAGGAGGGAATGAGAAGCACGTCCCATGGTCAACAGTGACAAACATACCAGCAATTCTGGATGTGACGTAAGATATGTCCAAGTCTCCCTTCGCGTAACTGGAATTAGAAAGAAGAGCGCTTGGTTAATTCCAGAAATTTCTACAGTTAAGTCACAAGAGCTCAAACTGGAGCAGGTCCTGGAGAGGCTGTGGGGGATCTCGCCGCTCAGGCCGCAGCTCACGGGAAACGTTGTGTGCGCATGTGTGTATGTATACGTGTGAGTGTGTTCCAGCCGTGTGCATGGAGCTGACGTCTAAGAGACGGAGAGGCAGAGACCCGGAAGAAACCTACTGCGCTTCTATTCTGAAGAGGCGTGACTGCAGGGGCTGGCTTTGAAAGGAGACAGTGACAAAAACGGAAGAGAGTTTTTTTGGCCCAGCACATCATGTCTGGCTCACAAGAAAAAGTTACAAGGCCCACCAAATGGCAAAAACACAGTTTCAAGAGACAGAGAAAACATCGGAACCAGACATGGCAGGGACGCTGGAACTGTCAGACCAGAAACTTAACCAACTATGACTAATATGCTAAGGGCTCTGACCGATAAAGTAGACAGCACGTAAGAACAGAGATAAAAATTCTAAGAACGAACGAAAAGAAATGCCGGAGATACAAAACGCGGTGGCAGAAAGAACACAGGCCTTTGATGGGCTGATTAGGCTGAACATGGCCGAGGAGAAAGTCTCTGAGCTCGAGGATCTATCAACAGAATCCTTACAAAAGGAAAAGCAAAGAGAACAAAGACTGAAAAAACCCAGAACAAAATCCCCGGCAACGCGGAACCACAAGAGGTGTATCGTACATTTAACAGGAACACCAGAAGGAGAAGAGAGAGCAGGTACAGAAGAAAGGTCTGAAACAGCAAGGACTGAGAATCTCCCTCAAATCATGTCAGACGTGAAACCACGATCCAGGAAGCTCAGAGGACACCAGGCAGGATAAATACCGAGTCGCTTACACTCAGGCATCTCCTCTTCGAACTGCAGAAAACCAAAGGAAAAAAACGTGCAAAGGGGACAGAGGGACAAAGCACGTCACCTGCACAGAAACAAAGACAGGAAGTGCACCTGTCCGCTCCCCGGAAGCCACGTGAGCAAGGACACAGTGAAATATTTAGTATTGAGGGAAACACCCACCAGCCCAGAACTCCGTCCCCTGGGAGTCACCCTCCAGAGGTGACCCAAACACTGGGAGAAAGTGCTGCCAGGAGACCTGCCTGGAAGGAAATGCTCTTCAGAGAGAAGGAGAATGATTCGGTCGGAAACGGGGTCTACACAGAAGAACAAAAGAACTCCAAAGAAGTGACAGTGAAACGAACACTTTCATGTTTGTTGCTCTTGATGGAGTCAGGAGAAAACTGCTCGTTCGAACTCGCCACGGCAACGACATGCCCACCTGTGCACTTGCTGCATCGACGACTCACATACTCGCGTGCGTTTGTGCGGGTAAAGCGAATGCTAGCACGAGCACAGCGATGGGGCGCAGTGCCATCGTGGGGTGACAGAGGGTTGGGGGGCTGGTGCGGGCTGCCTGTGTAGACGTGGGTCAGCTGTAAACATGTACTGCAAACTCCAGAGCAACTAGTAAAAAAGCTGTTACTTTTTTTAAAAATAAGGATAACTGATATGATAAGAAAGGAGAGAGAAAGGGACCCTATGAAATGCCCAGTTAAAGCCACAGAAGGCCGGGCAACGAGCAGGAAATGGAGCAGACATGGCAGGCGCCCACCCAGGACACCAAGAATCCATGTGACTATCAGTCAGAAGACACAGACGGTCACAGTGGACCAGACAAGACTCATGTACGTGATGCCTACAAAATAATAACGCAGCTGAGCATCTCCTAATAGTTTATTCATGGTTTGGCCACTGTTAGTCGCCTCTGTGCTTTTTTTTTTCTGCCTCCTAGTTTGCATAACTCGTTGCACGTAATAGGTACCATTCTTTTATCAGTTATGTGGTTTAAACGTATTTACTCCCAGTCACTGCCATAGCTTTTTGGAAATTTATTTTTTACTTTTTTTTTTTCTTTAACGTTTAATATTTGAGAGAGAGAGAGATAGAGCATGAACGGGGTGGGTCAGAGAGAGAGAGAGACACAGAATCTGAAACAGGCTCCAGGCTCCAAGCTGTCAGCACAGAGCCCGACGCGGGGCTCAAACCCACAAACTGCGAGATCGTGACCTCAGCCGAAGTCGGACGCTTAGCCGACTGAGCCACCCAGGCGCCCCTATTTTTACTTTTTAAAAAAATGTTTATGTTTTGAGAAGGAGGGAGAGAGCACGTGCATGTGCAAGCAAGCGAGCAAGGGAGGGACAGAGGGAGGCAGACAGAGAATCCAAAGCAGGCGCTGTGCTCAGAAGCCCAACGCGGGGCCCGATCCCACAAACTGTGATACGACCTGAGCTGAAATCAAGAGCTGGATATTTAACCGGATGACCCACCCAGGTGAAACTCTTTTTGGAAATTTAAAAGAAATGTGATTGTGAGGAACATTAGATTTTTATTTTAAGTTTATAATCATTCTTTCCACGGCTACATATTACGCAATTTTTGTTACAGTTAAGAAATCTACCTTACTCCACTGTTACAAAAACGCTCCCTCTATATTTTTATTTTCCCTAAAAAATTGCTATTGACAATTAGACCTTTTAATTAATCAGGACTAATGTATTTAGCTGTTACTGGATAAAGATCCAATTTTTTCATAGATACCTATGGTCTCAGCACCATTCGATAAGTATCCCGTGACTTTCTTCCAGACTTCTAGGTTTCATTAGTTTTACATGAGTCCCACATAGCTGGGTACTAGTTAGTGGTCTGCTCACTTCACCTACACCAGCACAGTACCCGTGTTTGAAGAAAAGTGACACAGAATGGGTTTGTCCCCTATTCTCATTAAAAAAAAAAAAAATACTGCTGGCAATTCTGGATAACTTACATACAAATTTTAAGATCAAAATCTGTAAAAACGCCAGGATTTTTATTTATAGTGCAATGAATTTACAGACTGAGCGATACCATCTAAAAATTAGCTCTCCCGTGGGGCGCCTGGGTGGCTCAGTCGGTTAAGCGTCCGACTTCGGCTCAGGTCATGATCTCACAGTTCACGGGTCCAAGCCCTGCATCAGTCTCTATGCTGACAGCTCAGAGCCTGCAGCCTGCTTCGGATTCTGTATGTCCCTCTGTCTCTGCCCCTCTCCCCGCTCATGCCCTGTCTCTCAAAAATAAACATTAGAAAACATTAAAAAAAAAAAAAAACCTCGGGGCGCCTGGGTGGCTCAGTCGGTTAAGCATCCGACTTCAGCTCAGGTCACGATCTCGCGGTCTGTGGGTTCGAGCCCCGCGTCAGGCTCTGGGCTGATGGCTCAGAGCCTGGAGCCTGCTTCTGATTCTGTGTCTCCCTCTCTCTCTGCCCCTCCCCCGTTCATGCTCTGTCTCTCTCTGTCCCAAAAGTAAATAAACGTTAAAAAAAAAAAAATTTTTAAAAAAAAAAAAACCTCTCTCAGGGGCGCCTGGGTGGCTCAGTCAGTTGAGCACCGATTTCTGATTTCGGCTCAGGTCATGATCTTGAGGTTCATGGCTCAGAGCCCTGCGTCGAGCTCTGTGCCAACAGTGCAGAGCCTGCTTGGGACTCTTCCTCCCTCTCTGTCCCTCCCCCACTCGTGCATGTGCACTCTCTCCCTCAAAATAAACACTTAAAAACAGAACGTACAATACCAATAAAACAAAAACTTCAATCAGGCAGGTCACAGAAAGAGAAACACGTGTGAGCAGACGTGCACATCCACAGGCCACACACGCTCTGGACCTGGGCCCCGGCCCCTGGGACACGGAGCGGCCGTGGGCACACGCTGGCTGCGTGTGCTGGGTCTGCGTGCACAGGGAGGCCCTCCTCCAGGGAGAGGCCTCCCAGGACTCCTGGGCCCACGCGCCCTATGAAAGGGCTCTGGCTGTACCAGAGAGGGGCTGGGCTGCTCAACGGCCCCGGAGAGTCAGTTAATGCCGGACGCCACCTGCACCAAGGCCTTACTTAACTGGGCCCTCCTGGGGCACGTGGAGCTGTGCGGTGGCCACAGACCCCACAGGGGACCCAAACGGAGAACTCCCTTGGTGGACACGGCTGGCGGGCCCGGTGAGGGACAGAGCATGGCTGCCGGGCCCTGGTGGTCACGTGCACAGATGTCACCACTACTGGTCACATCTGAGGAAAGGGCCAGCACCAACGTCTTCTGCCATTCCCCCGTCCGAGGCTCTGGCTGTCTGCATGCTGGCTAGACAGATGGCCCGTCAGGGTCAGCCTCGGGTTTGTCTGCTTCACCGTAAGCTCCCGAGTCTGTCGGTATCCGAGGCATCTGCAGGCCGGGCGGAAGACAGTTACGCAGGCCGAGCCTCTCACCCTGAGAGGCCTGCTTCCAAGTTGGTCCTCGGCTGCGGCTGCCGGTTCAGGAGGGTCCTCGCTGTTCCTAGAACTGGCAGGAGTGGCCCCTGTGCTCAGACTGCTTGCACCAAGACGTGCTTATGCTCACATCTGCTTTCCCTCTAGAGTCCGGAGGCTGGTGTGTGCTCAGCGAAGGGTGCCCAAGAGCAGGCGCAACCCACACCCTGGGTGACAACGCTTCACCTGTGCTACAGCGGCTCCGGTGGGGAATCAAGCACCTCCCACGTGACGCCACGGCCGAGGACTCGGGAAGCCCCGCCTGTTCCCTCACACTTTGTGCCGGGAGCCTTTTCCCAGCGCTGATCCGCTGACCCGCGTCCTATCTCTGAGGAAAATCCCAGCTGTGAGGACGACTCCGCTCCCAGTCTTGGGTGTCCTTCGGCAAACCTTCCACCCTGGGGATGGTCCCGGGACCCTGACACGTCTCCTCTTTCTCTTGTTCTAGAAACCTTTGATCCCGAGGACACCGGGCGATACCCTGTTTCATCCTCGTCTGCGCTCCGATCTCACCATCGCACCGGGATGACCCCGAGCAGCCTCCCAGACTTGTGCGCCCGCGCCCCGAGGCACATCCGCTAACATCCCCAGGCCGCCACCCCGAGGCACAGACCGCATTCTGCTTGTGCCGCCCGTCGGAGGTGCGCCGTCAGGGTTATTACTTTTTGTTAATATTCCACTCGAGGGTGTAAGATAGCCGCACAAACCCAGAGTCAGTCGCAACAGCAGCTAAATCCGGAAGCGAACCACCACCACCTCTAGCCTGACACGCAACGGGGGCCCCTGGGGTGCAGCCGGTGGAGCGTGCGACTCCCGATTTCAGCTCAATTCGTGATCGCACGGTTCGTGAGTTCAAGCCCCATGTGGGCCGATAGCAGGGAGCCTGCCTGGGCTTCTCTCCCTCTCTGCCCCTCCCCTGCTCACACGCTGACTCTCAAAATTAAAAAATGTTAAAAGAAAAACACACACACAAGCAACGATTTTACGTTCCTTCGTTTCTCAAAACTGCTTTTAAGAGCAGTGCACGAGCGCACGAGCATGTGGCACCAAGCCCTCCCCCTCCCGCCGCACCGCCTCCCAGCCCTGGCTTCTCGGGGCGCCAGCATCCTGGTCGCACAGCGGGCCATGGGCACCCAGCCCCCGCACCCACCCTGGAAAGGCTGGCAGCCGAGGCCTGTCTGCTCTCTCCCTGCACCTCAGCGGAGAGGCCGTGAAATGCTGGACCCGCCTCACGCCTGAGGCCCAGCAAGAAACAGGGCTTCCGCACAGCTGGTGCGCCTTTTTCAGAGAGACTTGAGTAGTTTCTCCCGCGTTCAGGAACCTCCCGCTCATCGTCGTCAGGGGCTATGGCTCCAGAGCCCTCCGGTCCCAGAAGCCAGCCCCAAGACCCCTGCAACGTCACCTGCCGGGATGAGACCTGCCGCCCGCCCTGCCGGTGCTGCGGCCGCACAACATGCAGAGGATGACGGCCCGTGGGGTGAGCCACGTGGAGGGGCCCACGACATGGCGGCACCGTGCGAGGTCGCCCCTCATCGGAGGCGCGAGTGGAGAAGCGCCGGCAGACGGCAGGCGAGCCTACAGGCCACAGGCGGCCCCGCCTGTCCTGTCTGGGCCCCCCAACCAGAACGTGAGCCACAGCAGCCGGACTGCTCCCGACCCCAGGGACAGACCCGGAGAGCTCCTTCGACAAGGCGTGGCCTGGGACACTGATCCACAGCCAGTAGAAATCAAGTCTCTCGTCGTTACATAAAGTCACATCAGAGACTGCGTGCGCGCTGCTATATAACACAGTGCTCACACATGCACCACTCACACAGGTGTGCGCGTGCTCACGCAACGTGTGTGCGACTTTACCTGTGTCGTCCGCGGCTGGTGTGTGCGCACACACAAGAACAGGGAAAGCCGAGGAGCCTCCACGCAATCAGACACACGTGGTAACTACAGAGAACAAGGGTCCCGGGCCCGCCCCCCCCCCCCCCGCCTGAGAACCAGCTCCCACGGATCATCCCCTGAAACCATCGGCACAGAGAAGCAGAGCCTCACATGGACGCTGACATCCCTGAGCTGGCCTGCGGGGGGCAGCGTGCTGGAGACCCGGGCCTGTGAGGCTCCCGGGGAGCTCCCGAGGCATAGTGGAGATGCCTCCGGAGGACCTGGCAAACGCAGACCATGTGTGCTGGCCACAAGGGCCTCGGGCCGGCGTCCAGGATGAGAGGGTAGCCCCCAATTGTGCACATGTGCACTCCCCTCAACAACCTGCTCACAAAGCGACTTGATTTACCCACACGCTCAAGCCCAAGCAGCCCGAGTGGGCCTGCGGTCGTGAGGTGTCCTGGGCCCCTCCACTGTCCCCCTTGCTCCACGCCACGGAGAAGAAACCACACAGATGCGAGGGGCACTGTCCCGGTGCAAGGGAGGCGCTGAGGCTGGCGGCTCAGGTTCTCCATGGAAAAGTCCTCCCGGGGGCGAGAGCGGCAGGGCCCCGTGGCTTCGGGCACTCCCATGTGCCCCTCCGCGGCAGGGGTGGGAACGGGTGGCCGAGGCACCCCCATCGGGCAGCGCCACCCCCCCCGCCTGGGCCCACGAGGCTGATGGCACAGCCGGTGCCGATGGCATCACACGCTCACCAGCAGCCTCAAGTGCAGGTCCTGCGAGGTTTGGAGGCGGGACAGAGCCCAAAGGTCGGGAAACCCCTACTACAAAGAGACCACGTGCTGTCACTGTCAACTAGACGCCGTGCCCACGTGCCCTCACTCACTTGGCAACGGACTGGATGACCTTGGAGGAGGTGTCCTTGATGTTTGTGAAGAGGCGCTCGGTGCCCCCCCGCAGGATATCCAGGAGCCCGCCATAGGGCTGGTCGTACTCGGCAAGCGCCAGGCCTGGAAGCAAAGACAAGTCGGCTCAAGTCACAGGACAACCCGGGGCTGGAGGCGGGGCCGCGAGGCGTAGGTGGGAGCCAGCTCCTGGGGAGACGGGAGAACCAGAACGGGCAGGGAGCCCCGCTTCCCGTCAAGCCCGACCATCAGCGCACAGTATCCGGGCACAGGAACGAAACCAGCCAAATGCTGCCTGAGCCTGGGGGGGAGCCCCGCCCTGCCCGGCACCCACAAAGTGCCGAGCCAGCTGCTCTGTCCCCAGGGCAGAAGCTGGGCCCCGTGAAGAGGAGCTGGTCCCTCTGGGCACACGTGGCCCTCCATTCTCGGTGATGTCCCACCAGCCCATTCCCAGCATGCACTGGATGCCAGCTGGGCCCCTCCAGTGCACTAACTCACGCTGAGGGGACCAGCGAAGGGGAGGCAGCCTGGTGGACACAGACACCACAGACGCTTAGAGGAGGAAAGGGTGGGGAAGGATGAGGGGGGAGGACACGGGGTGGGCCGGACAGGGGGGAGGCCCGGTCACCCCAAGCCAGGCCACAGGCCACATGGCAGACCTTGGGCATGCCTGGGGCACAATTCTATCTTTTGCAGGGACAGGGCTGCTGGCATAGAGCCCAGGCTCCTGACCACAGCTCCAAACGGGGGGCACCTGCAGGACACGGCTGCCTGGATGAGAACAGGGTGGTAGCAAAAGAAGGCAGTCCCTGAAACCCCAGGGCCTCAACGGTGGGGTCATCAAAGGGGGCTCGGGTGGGAGACGCCGGTGTGAAGAGACGAGCATGATCTACGACTGCATCTGTGCCGCGGGGGCCTCTCTGGCAGCCTCTGTGCGTAAAGCCCGCGGCTGGGACGCGGCTGGGACGCGGCTGGACGACATGGCCCACACGTGAGATGTTTCTGTTGGTTCGTCACTAGGCAGTAGCTGGCCCAGCCCTGGCCAGGCACCACCGCTCATGTGGTGTGAGCACATGTGCGGCAGGGTCGTCCCTTGGGGCCTTGAGAACCCCCCCCCCCCCCCCCCCCGCCATGGCAGATGAGGCAGCCCCACACACGGGACACTCAGGGAGGCACCCAGGGCCCACTGTGCACGGATATGGAGCGCCCAGGGCACGGGTCCTGCTGGCTGGCGGGGACAGCTGAAGGACCCAGGACTCCACGCCCCGAAGAATGAGAGGTGGGGGATGAGCACGGGGGCCTGTGGCAGAGAAGCACGTCCTGGCATGGCCTTCCAGAGCTTTCCAAGGCATGGCCACACAGAGCTCAGGCTGAGGGCTTCTGTGGGGACACAGTTATGCCACTGCTGGGTACCCAACCCATCCTGATACACGCTGGCCGAGGGGAGTAGAGGTCGCGCACCACATGTGACCTGAGCTATAGAAGGCCGCCGGCCTCACCTCCACTGCTGCCAGAGCCGACCCTCCGCCACCCCCCGTCTGAGGCCCCACTCGGAGCCCTCCAGCCCCCCAGATCCTACCATGGCCGCTCTATTCCCCACACCCTCCTTCTGACGTACTTGTCCTCCTGGCTACTCTCTGCCCTTCAAGGCACGCCCTCCTCTACACGCCAAGAAGTGACTGACGGAGCGGCTGTGGGCCTCCGAGGCGGAGTGAGCCACGCGGGTGGGTGGCAGTGCCCGTGTGGCCACCGCCAGTTGTCACTCCATGCTACAGAGGACCGGTACCGCCCTGATGGTGTCGGGAGAGGACAGCTGATGCTCACGCCTCTTCCCCTGTCCCCTGTGGTCCTGAGTGTGTCAGTTCCGTTGAGTCCTGGCGGTTCCAGGGAATCTGAACCTGAGGGTGGTCCCGGGGGCCCTGAACACGTAGCCTGTGTCTTGCTGTCAGGTGCGCTGCACACAGCGGGAGCATGGCAACCCCAGGGGCAAACGGGGGGGGGGGGGGCACAAGGCAGGGGGCACTCACCTCCACTGTAGCCACCGCTGCTGGAGCCCCCGAGGTGGGGAGGCCCTCGAGACGGGACAGCATTCCCATAGCCCCCATTCTGCTCTAGGAGCTGCAATGATTCCAAATGCAAATAATCAATCTCCAGAGGCCGGGGCCAGGGTTCAGGTGGCTCCTCCCCAAACAGAAAACCTTCAGATGCTGGCACAAGGTACCTGTGGGCCCCAGGTACGCTGGCCACCCAGCTAACCTAGCTCTCTCTACCTGACTTACTAAAACATCCAAGAGAGCTTCCCGGACTCTGAACAGCCCAGCTGAACCAAAAGGCAGACCACACTGACAAGTGACCTGCCCATGTGCTGTTCTGGAGCCGACGTGCTCGGGCACACACCTAACACAGAGGAGGCAGCCGTGAACCTGCCCAACTCTGCAAGTGCTCCCTGCACGCCCACTGCACGCCAAGCCTCCACGGCGACGCAGGGCAGACGGCAGACCCTCAGGGCTGAGGCATCTTGTGTGGGGAGGTGCACCCAGACTCAGTCGGCTCGCGCCCTCTGGCTGCCACAGGAGCGGGGCAGTGGGCTGTGCACAGTGAGGCTCTTTCGCGAGCTGAGCCCGAGGCCAGTGTGGGGCTGGAGCCTCGAAGAGATTCGTGCAGCCCGGAGGCAAGGTGCTCGGCGGCGCAGGCCTCCTGCCCAGCCCCCTTGGGGCGGCCTCAGCCTTCCTCAGCCTTCCTCAGTCTCAGGGAAGATGCAGTTTCTGCCGGTTACTTGTTTTATAAGTTACTCGGTAGTGTGCTTTAGGGTTTTTGGTGAAGCTTTACAAAATACGACCATCGAGGTGGAGTTTTACCGCGTTAAACTCAGGAAATGAGCTATACGTGCTATCGTTTCTACTGAGCGTGACGACGTCTTTCTTAGTGACCTCGGAGGGAATCGGTATTAACATCCTACAAGTTCCTGAAAACAACACACGTGCCTCCAAGTGGTAGGCAACTACCACCGTTCGGCCACGTCTCCTCTTCGCAAATTCTCTATTTGCTTTATCAATTTCTGGAAGAAACAGAACATCCCCTACCGTGACCCGATGCCTCCCACGACTCCCTGTAAACTAACGAATGCTGCTCGGTATCTCAGACACTGTGTTGTTAAAGGCAGGTGAATGATACCCGTTTTCCTTTTAAAGTTCCTTTTCACAGCATCCTATTAAACCACACAGCCGAACACTTCGCATGCCTCCACTCTTGGGTTTCAGACTCGATTCCTACTCCCCCTCTCGAGGGGCTCTGTCTGCTGCGTGCGGCCCTGTGTGGCGGGCTGCCTTCCCATGGGGAGGACGGCCTCGCTGCACACTCGGCCCCTACATAAGAGGTTTAAGGTTTGCACGCGTGGGGCACAGGTCTCAGAAGCACTAGCATCAGGACACGCGCAGCAGTGGACCCACCAGGAGCTGCGTCTGTCCACGGGGAGCTCCCCAGGGGTGCGCACGCAGGCAGGCCTGCCCACCGATCAGACACCTCCCCACGCCGCCTGGGGCCCCTGCTCGCCTTTGGGGACGAGCACGTTTTCTGCGGGGCTACGTGGGCACTCTGGGCCGACCTGCTTTAGCGCCAGACTGCTCCCAGGCTCTCTCTGGACCGAACCCCCCGCCCCCCCCCCCCCGACGTTCCGTGGCCTTCTCCCCCTCACCCCTCTGTGACCTTCCGTGGCCTCCTCCTCACCTGTGCTCCTCTCCACCTCTCGCCCTGGCCCCTGGGATGCAGGGAACCAGCCCAGGAGGTTAAGCACTGAGCACCAGGGCCCCACGCCCGGTTTACTCCCCCGGCTCCTATGATCAGGTGGGACGTTTCCCCTGTCACCCCGGCCTGTGGAGGCTCCATGGCACTCGTGAGCCCCCTCGGGGAGCCGTGTCTCTTGCCCTAGAGCAGGTGCGGCCTCTCACGGAAACGTCCTGAAAACACCCGTCAAGGCCCCTACCTCAGTGATGGGCGATTTGGGGTTCACATTCCTGGCGGCTGCAATCTCCTGGAGCTGGTTGACCAGTTCTGTGATGGACAGCCGCTCCTCGGGGTTGACCTTCAGCGTAGCACCTAGGGCAGAGGCAGGTGAGCTCAGGTCACGGTCTGGGGTCAGCAGTGCCCACCCTCCCCGAGATCACAGACCCGAGGCCCCTCATTTCACTTACAGCACTGATTTCGCTTACAAGCGAGAGAGGGAAACATGACAAGAGAGCCACAGCGAAAATGGCACAAAGTTACCAGAACCGGCCACTCAAAGCACCGAGAATTCACAAGGGGGCTGAGCAGAGCGGCCGCCACACAGCCATGAGGGGCAGGGGACAGCCGGGGCCCTGGATGTGACACAGGTCCCCGCACGCGGGACTTACGGATGAGGTCGTGGAACACAGAGTACTGGGTGTCACCAGGAGGGATTGAGAACTTCCCGTTGACTATTCTCAGCTTTGCTCCGTCTTCAAACGGGTGCTGCCTGAAGCACAGCAGGTACAAGATGCAGCCCAGGGCCTGCAGGGGACAGGGGGCGTGGTGGGGGTGGGGGCCAGGAGGGGGGTGGAGGGAGGGGCTGAGAGGGTGGGGGAGGGGCCGCGGGGGTGGGGGCTAAGGTGGGGACAGGGTTGAGGGGGGAGGGGGTTGAGGGGCTGGGGGCTGAGAGGGTGGGGGAGGGGGCGGGCCCATCCAGCCAAAGGTCAAGGGGCTGGAGCCACACCCTGGTCTGAGTTCCAGGCACACCCAGCCCACTCTCTGCCCTCATCAGGCACAAACTATGGAGATCAGAGGAAGAACAAACAACAACCCTCTTATTTTCTCAGCAAGAGATTCTTTCAAAGGGAAAAGTTCCCACATTCAGGCACTTGGGACCCAGCGGGGCAGCTCGAGAGACCACTAGGGCAGAAACGCAGGGAGCAGGCCTGCGGGTCCTGGGGGTCTGCCGCTGCCTGCTAGCCCCGTGGCCTCCGATGCGGGCACCCTCGTGGCCCAGGCTGAGCAGGGCACTCGGGGCCCAGGGGAGGCCACGCCCTTGGCACCCAACGTCAGTCCCCCCATCAACCGCCGCGTGTGCGTACGAGTGTCCCCCAGCCGACCGTGCTGAGGAGCACCTACTGGGGTGGAAAGGAGATGCGTGGTGAGTTTGACACCACAGGCTGCCACCATCCCAAGAAAAGGCTCCAGCGTGCAAATCCTACCGATTCACACGTTTTAGACGGGGTGGAGCCCGTCACACCCACACCCACGGCGGGGTCAGCACTGGAGGCGGCCCGGGAGGTCTGGGGCTGTCCCTGCTCGGAGAGGCCAGGGAAGGGGCAGGGTGCTTCCGCACCGGCGGGCGCAGCCCCGGGCCGCTCAAGCTGCGCTCCCCAAGTTCCGCACCCTGATGCTGGACGAAGCGGTCAGCGGACCCCAGGAGGAGTGCTACGCCAGGCAGGAATTGCCACAGGGTTTCAGAAAGGTGAAGGGAGCGGGGTCGCCTAGGCGTCAGGGCCCGGCCCTCACTCTGGCCATGGCCAGACCGGCAAAAAGACCCAAGGCTGGGACTGGTCAGGCCGCACGAAGCCCCGGCTTCTCTGAAGGGGCTCTGAGCAGGGGGAGCTCAGGCCCAAGCCTGCAGGCGGCAGACAGGTCCGGGCATCAGGTGCCACCCCGGGACCCTGCAGCACACGGACACTCCACCCAACTTACGCTTGGTTCCGCTCCACTAAGGGCAATCACGGTGGTTCTTGTGACAAGGAAAGGAGAAGAAAAAGAAGGGTGGCCAGAGGGACGGGGAGCAGAGTGGGCAGGCCAGAACCCCCGCCCAGAGGCACGGCTGCCCGGGCACACAGCCGTGCCGCCTCACCCAAATGTCTTGCTTTTCGCCGATGGGGAAGTTCGAGTACAAGTCCACGATCTCTGGCGTCCTATACATGGGTGTGGTGTTCCTGGTGATCTGAAGGACAGACACAGACGTCTCAAAGGAAAGGCCACTCGTGAGCACCACTCGTCCCGCGTCGATGTTGTGTTACTTCCCCAAATACCCCGCAGGACGTCTGTGAACGACGCTCACTCACACCCCGTTGCGTCCCACACAGATGGCAGGCTGCTCAACTCCCTCCTCACCCCCACTGCTGCCCGTCTCCCGAGCGCCTCTGGTGCTCCTGACGCAGCCACGCACGCCAAGCATTCACTGCGGGCACCCTAGCTCGTGTGGGTGTGAGGAGAAGCAGGTGTCACCCACAGGAAGTCTGTCCAGAGCCGTGAGCTGGGTCGCTCGTGTCTCTGAGAGGAAGTGCTATTCTGAAAGAAGCCTCCTGATGGGATCTTGTGGACAAAGAACCTTCTCCAACGGGAGAGAGAACTAAACCAAATTTAGCTGGTTGGTTCAGGTTTTCACACGCAAGATCCTGAGACCCACGTATACAGGGCAGGACACGGGACTGAGGACAGGCTGGCAGCACAGCCCGGGGGGAGAGCCACAGCCCACGGCGTGCGTTGCCGCACACGGCACACATGAACACCAGCCACGGGGCTACAGATTCCGCTGCCACGACCTCAGCCGGACAAGGAAACACAAACACGTGGCAAGTGTGATGGGCTGTTCTCCACCTGAAGGTGCTACTCCACGGCAACCCTCTGAAGAAGCCACGGGAGGGGTGCAGGTGAGGCCCGGGGTCAGAGCGCGTTAAGTCCTCGGGCGGACGCACCCGGCATGCCGCGAGGGAGGTGAAGCCGGGGGCACCACGCAGCCCAGACGTGGGGCGACAGGGACACCCCGCGGGACAAGTCGCCAAGCCGCACACTTAGGGTTCTGCACCGCTGTGCCCGTCCGGCGAGCCCCCGTGGAAAGCCCTATTCTACGCCGGATTTGTTCACAGACCGGCCGCTGCGATCCAGGCTCACACCCTGAGGAGACACGAGAAACCACGTGCGGGCCGCTCGGCACGCTGCCGCCTGTAAGCGTGCAGACGACAGGACACGGGACACGGCCTGACCGTGAGCACATGGCACTGGCCAAAGAGACCCAGGTGCAGAGGGACCCATGCTCCTGACCCAGCACGGCCCACAAAGCATGAAAAGCAAACAGAAGCCGGGAGACCGTGTGCAGCGTGAGGGGCGGGAGCCGGGAGACGCGCGTCCGCGGGCCTACCCCTGCAGAAGAGACACGGCACCGCCTGCAGCTCAATTCTCCCGGAAACCAGCAACCGCTCAGAAAGTCAAGTCAAGTCATTAAAAAGCAAGATGCAATCAAACGAGTAACTAAACCCCTTGGAAGGAGAGAGCGCAGATGCGAGGACTCGTCAACACAGCATCTGAGAGCACGCGCCTGGTCTGGGCTGTAGATCGGGGGAGGGGGACACCCGAGGGCCACAGATCCACCCTGACTTCCTTCTGGGACATTCACGCTCTCTGGTGACACCAGAACTCTCGGACGTGCGCCGGAGTGGAGCACCGGTGCGCGTGGTGACGCTACTGGGCCCCTCGCTGGGAGAGGGGGACACACAGATGTGGGGTGGGGGGGGCAAGAAGCCCACCGGACACACCAGAGCGGAGGCACTGGCACACACGCGCGACTTGCCACAGGACACGCGTGGAGGTGTGCCCACACAGGCACGCACGCCCTGAGTGGTCTCCGGTGCCTCCCCCTCCCCCTGACCCCGAGCCGGCGGCTCTCCTCCAAGGCGGGCACGCACATGGCAGGGTCGGCAGGGCAGGCACCTGCTCAGCCCAGAACGCCCTCCTGCCCCAGCAAGTGGGCAGGGCTCCCAAGGGATGGGAGCCCGACAAAGAACACAGGGTCAAGTGGGAAGTGAATCTGGGGCATTTGAGGACACACCACGAACCCTGAAAAAGACGGCACCCAAGAGTTCTCATAAAGAATAATCACAGGAGGTGTGGGGGGGCTCCTGCCAGGGTAGTGGGGCACACAGCAGAGGTGGGAGGAGGCACAGGACAGGAAGCCAGAGCAAGCAGCTCGCCCCCCATGCCCCTGCCCGGGAGACGGAGGCAATCAAGCAACCGTCACCCAAAACAGGTGTGCGTGAGACACAGTGGGTGTTCGCACACCTCCAAGGACCCACTGAGACCAGTGATGGAGACAGGACTCAGAGCCCATGAGGCGGTTACAAAACCACCCACCACACGGGACCGAGGGGCCCCCTCCCACGCTGCTATGCTGTTCCATTCTGCCAGCCGAACAACTGAAGGAGAGCGTTAAACATATTCTTTTTGCCGGGAATGACTTCCTTAGGAACGCTCTCACGCACAAGCAGGAATGTGCTGGGATGGGGTGATCCGACGTGTGTCCGATTCAGTAATGGAGCACAGTCAGTTCTAGGAACAGCCAGCAGGTCAGGAGCACCTGTGCTCTGACCCACGACACCCGGTCCAGGGACGGACTCCGTCCAGACAAGAGGTGCCCCGCTGGGCCACATCCCGTCCCCGACTCCTTCACGGCAGGCTTCCTCGGTGTCCCCGGCAGAGCACGGATGCAGCACCTCCCCTCCCCCGTCATTCTGCGTGGCTTCCTGTCTCCTATGTTTGGCCTGTGTGGTTTCTGTGAGCTGCTTATCTAAGTACGAGCCCCTAGGGGAACGGCTGGGGGTGTCCAGCGGAGGGCGCACCAAAGAGCGCCCCAGGCCCCTCCCCCAGGCTGCACAGTCACATGTGCACGGGCTCTGTCCTGCTCTGTGCTGCCTGCTACCCACACGTGCTCAGGACAAACCTACCAATCTCCTGTGGGGTCTCCTGTGGGACCCGTGAGGGAGAGTTTTCAGTGATTTTTAATTTTTTTTTTTTAATAACCACATTTGGGACGGTGAGAAAGTTCTGTGGATGGACAGTGGGGATGGCTGACCGATGACGAATGTAGTTAATGCCACTGGAACGTGCACTTAAAAATGGTTAAATTAAATAAGATGGTAAATTTTATGTTGCGTGTTTTTTATCACGATACAAAAAAAACCCGCGATTAACAAAGGCCGTAAGAAGGTCTGGGATGAAGTGAGGGACGAAGACATGAGGTAAGCCTCAAATTCGGCGTCTCCCGGCCCACACACGAGCCCGGGAGGCGAACGCTGGGATGTGGGACGGGCAGGCCGTGCGGCCGCAGCCGGAGCATCGGCGACTGCGGAGACCCAGGCCGAGCAGACCACAAAGGGCACCACGTGCCACACGACTCACCTCTTCTTCCACCAGGGCCCGCCTCTGGGCGCTCCAGCTGTAGTCCGGGTAATGCGAGATGGTCGTAGCACTGCCAAAGTCACACAGCTTGATGGTCCCCTGGTTACTGAGCAACAAGTTCTCCACCTGCAGAATCCCAGAGGGTGGTCAGGGGCTCGGGTGCCGAGACCCAGGCCTGGGGGCGCCTTCCTCTCGCAAAGGGGAAGAAACAGCATTTTAACCTCTCTCTGATCGAAGTCAGCACGTGTACCTTTGAAAACGGGGAACTCAGAAAAATAAAGTCACGACCAACCATAAATCAAAGACAACTCTAATCGATCATGTAAGGTATACAAACACACAAAAAACCTTTATAAAAGTCAGTTAGGGGCGCCTGGGGGGGCTCAGTCAGCTGAGTGTGCAACTCTTCATCTTGGCTCAGGTCTCGATCTCACGGTTCGTGGTATCGAGCCCCGACAAGTCAGGCTCTGTGCTGATGGCACGAGGCCTGCTTTGGATTCTCTCCACCCCCCACCCCCCCGCGCTGGCGCGCCGGGGGTGCACATGCAGGGGCTCGCAAAATAAAGAAACTAAAAAAAAAAAAAAAATGAGGTGCCTGGGTGGTTTAGTTGGTTAAGCATCTGACTTCGGCTCAGCATGATCTCATAGTCTGTGAGTTCGAGCCCCACATCAGCTCTCCGCTTGTCGGCACAGAGCCCACTTCAGATCCTCCGTCCCCTACCTCTCTCTGCCTCTCTGTCACTTGCACACATTCTCAAGAAAAAAATTTAAATAAATTTAAAAAATAAGTCAGTTAATTGGGTGCCTGGGTGGCTCAGTCAGTTGAGCCTCCGACTTCAGCTCAGGTCATGATCTCGTGGTTCATGAGTTCGAGCCCTATGTCGGGCTCTGTGCTGACAGCTCAGAGCCTGGAGCCTGTTTCAGATTCTGTGTCTCCCTCTCTGTCTGCCCCTTCTGTTCATGCTGTTTCTCTCAAAAATAAATAAACACTAAAAAACATTTTAAAGATAATAAATCAGTTAAAAAATGAAAAAACTTAACATACCACTTCAGAATTACCAAATACATCAAGAACCTAGGAAAAAATTGAACAAAAGACACACAAAACACTTCCTATTCAGAAAACTCTAATTTTAAAGATTTCTTTTCTTATCTTAGAGAGAGAACCTGTGTGTATACACGAGAGTGGCAGGGGAGGGGGCTGAGGGAGGGGAAGGGTGGGGAGAGAGAGAAGAATCTTAGCAGGCTCCAAGATCAGCCCACAGCCCAGCGCGGGGCTCGATCCCACAACCCTGGGATCACGACCTGGGCAGAAATCGAGAGTCAGACACTTGACTGACTGAGCCACCCAGACACCCCTGGAAAGCTATAAAAATTTAGACAAATTCTTAAAATCCAAACAGACAAGGGATCAGACCACACTCCTGACATGAAAGGCACGGGTGTGCGCAGCCACTCTAGAGCAGGCTCCCCAGCCGTGGTCCAGCCCCACCTACCTCGACACAGCCCGCAAACTAAGAAAGGCTCTTACATATTTAAACGGTTGGTGGAAGAATCAAAAAAGACTGACATCTCCTAACACGGGTCCAGAAGCAGCTTTAGGGGCGTGGCCGTGCCTGGCTGTCCGTAGGGCTTCCTGCGCTGTTCAGGAAGGTTGGTATGCAAAGCTGAAATGTTTAAAGTCGGGCCTTTTATAGGAAGTCTGTCAACTCACGCTCTGGGGGTGAGGTGGGGTGAGGTGGGGTGGGGGTGGGGAACAGTCAAGGCAACTCACCAAATTCCAGAAAGTTTTTTGGGAGGAACCTAATTCAAAAAGTCATGTGGAGACGCAAAGAGCCAAAAAGAGCCACATGATCCCTAAGAAGTCAGGCCTTACTGTTAAGCTCTGTTAAAGAAGGCAAAGGAGCACAGGGTCCAGGACCAACCAACAGCCCCACAGGACACCCAGTGAGTGCCACGCCCGTGGCAAGGCGGTGCTGAGGGAACAGGACGGCCGTCCAAGCAAGGTGTTGGGAGAGCCAGGGGGCCACCCATGATGCACCAAGGAAGACCCGCCCCTACGGGCAAAGGTGGACGCCAGGTCCCCCGGACAGCATGCTTGGCAAGACGCCTCGGCAAGACACGGAAGCTCCACTGAAACCAGAGCATCCCATCGGAGACGCTGTGCAGAGGGTGATGGTGCGAGCCACAGCGTGACCAGCGCGGGCTCTGATGAGCCAAAGTGAAAGGGACCCTTCCACAGGCGCCCCCACGGAGAACGTCCAAAGTACAACACGCTTGAAAAGATGCTCAACTTTGTTAGCAGAAGGAAAATCCAACTAGGACCACTTAAGCCACATCCACATGACCTGGGTCACGTAGCAAAGTGCGGGCACAGGGGCCGCCATGCACTGCTAGTGAGGACTTCCAACAGAGGTGCAAGCGTCCATGGGCCAAAGCACAGACAAGGGCATCGGGGTTCAGAACAGCTCAGGAAGCGGACATCAACCAAGTGCACAAGCACGAGCACACGCGTCCCCACACGAGACGGATGGACCTGCAAACCATAATGCGAGCAAACAGCCCGACACCGGCTACACTCCACAGCCCGCAGGCTTGGAAGGAGCCATGCACAGGAGCAGAACAAGAAGGACACGCGTCCCCATGGTCTCTGCCATCCCCCGTGTCCCTCCTGCCCCTCTGCAGGGCGCCACACGGTGAGGTCCACACACCAGCCACAGGGACACCTGCAGGGGGTCCCAGCACTGGGCAAACAGAGGGCGCTGAGAAGACAAGGGACGTCCAACCCGGGCTAAGCTCACAAGCGCTGATCCTTTACTGATTCTACCCTTCTAGATATCCCTTCCCGTAAAAAAACTAAGGACACACAAGCACCCGCATTAACACACAAAGCATGGGTCTTGACGCCCTGAAACAATCCACCAGCCCCCAGTCAGCTGAGGAAGGCCCATGCAGACAGCAGGGAAGGGCCGGCTGGTGTGCAGGGCAGCCGCGGCCCAGGCCCCTCCAGACACACCCCTGCAGCCCTGTGAGCGGGGTCCAGGGCAGCGGCCCCCACCTCACAGACCTTCTGTAACGGGGGCGCACGTGCCGACCACTCGGGCTGAGGGACAAAAGGAAAAGGTCAGGCTCGCCCAAGGTCAAATCTAAACAGAGACATCACTGCACAGACAGGGCGCCAGGGCCTCCGTGGGCACATGGCCCTGAGGAGGAGAGGGCGCTGTCCCAGACCAGCCGGGTCGGAGGCACGCTTTCCTCATACCTGAAAGCTGGCCACAGACCAGACAAGAGAGAACGCTAAGGGACTGTAAGGTTCTCCGGCAAAAACAACCTGTGCCAGCAAGTAGGACACAGCGGGGGCCACCGCTCCCCCAAGAAGCGGTCGGAGTCAGGGTGTGAGCTTCGTGGACGTCAGGCAAATCTCACAAAGTCTTGAGTTTCCCAAAGACACAACAGGGGAAATAGAAACTAGGCCATTAAGCAGGAGAAGGCATTCGCAGCACAGACAACATGAAAAAGGCCGCCGTAAGAACAGAGGGAGGAGCTCCTGCTAACCAACAACCTGATGGACAAGAAAACAGGAAAAAAAGCAAAAAGCAAGTTAACTGAAGAATAAGGCACTGACTGCAAACACAGCAAAAACCGTCTATCTCACGAATCACCAGGAAAAGGGAGAATCGGGACCGCGGTGCCCCTCGTCCCCAGCAGGCGGGCGGCTGCGAGTACGGCAGCCCCACGGTGCCCGGCCAAGGCGCGTCCGCACTCCTCGTGGTCCCTCGGCGGCACTGGTTGCCGCGGGACAGCGAGCCCTGTGGTGTCACGCCTGGGGACGGATGACCACAGGGCAAGGGCACGGACGACCCCGAGGGGCTGCAGCCTCCTCCCGGCTCCTGCGGGCGGACGGAAGGGAGCCTCAGCCGAGAGCATCCCCGGGCCGGCCGAAGGGCCGGCAGGGGGCGTGATGGCCAAGCAGGTGGCATGAAGCCACAGGACCAGGCCGCAGGAGGCCACAAAGCCAAATGACACAGAGAGAGGGCTCGGCGCCGCTTCAGGGGAGAAACTTCCAGAAACCCAGTTTGGCGTTAAGAAGCTCCCTCTTCTCTGGAAAAGCCATCGCACACTTCACTGCTGGCAAGCTGGCCATCCTGACCGGGCGCAGCGGGGCAGGCCCGCGAGACGGACCGGAGGCGGTACCTTGAGGTCTCTGTGGATGATGGGCGGCTTTTGTCTGTGCATGTGCTGCACGGCTCTGCACGTCTGATAGAATATCTTCAGAACGGTATCGCACGAGAGCGGACCTCTAGATTCAATTTTCTTTAAAAATTCCACCAGCTGCCCTAAAAGAGACAATTAAATTCACATCACCATGGAACCAGAAATGCTACACCCACCCCGGGCGGCCCCCCGGAGTCCACTGCAGCACTCGCGGGAGAGCGTCCGCCGCTCGGGCCCGGACACCCGGGAAACCCCGCGGAGGGACGTGAGGTTCAGGGACTGCCACCGGGATGCAACGAACTTACAGAGCCTCCGTGGGAACACCGCCGGCCGCGGCCACGTGGAACAACGGCCAGCGGTGCGCGCGGTACAAGGCAGCCCCCAAATTCACCACGGACCGCGTACCCCGCGCAGCCAGGCGCCGAGCGGCAGCTACAAGAGGAACGGCCCCAAACGTGTACGCGGAGCTCTCTCAACCACATCTAGCGAAGCGGCCACCCCGCTTCCTCAGGCAACAGGTCACCTGTCTGTGAGCACCACGTCCCAGTAAACGCACAGACTGTGTGTGGATGGGGGGGAAGGAGGCCACAGGTAGGCACGAAGTACTGGGCTGCACCCCAGTCCAGGACAGAGCCCTCCCTGGGCCGTTCCTCCCCGTCTCTGTAGCCCAGACACCTGCAGTGCTTGGACCCAGCACAGTGAAGCCGGGAAACTCTGGTGCAGGGCCAGCCAGCTCCGTCGCACGCGGGGTGAGAGCTTTCTCCGTGAGCACAGGCCATCTCCTCCCCGTCCCGCACGGAGCACCCACATTCATGCCTCTGGCGCCTGCCTCCACAAGCTGCCCACACACCACATGCCTTGTACCCTACCCCTCCAACCACATTCCCACCTGTGGCCCCCTCCCTGGAGCCTCTTCCGGAAGCCCACCCTCTCCTGGGCACTGCACTGCTCCCTCCCTGCTCCAGGCACCAGGCTGTCTCTCAGCCTTGTAGCTCCTTCAGTTTGCCGGCACACTATTGAAGCAGAAGCAAGGTGGTTACCACCCCTACAGGCCTTATCTCTCATGACATCCCCACACAGACTCCCCTCCAGCCACATGCCTCCTTTCTGTCCTGCCCCAGGACCTTCGCACATGCTGCACCCTCAGCTGGGACAGTTTTCCTGTCTCACCTCCTTCAGCTCCCGGTCTGCGCCATCACACCCTTTCCCTGGCCTCTTTCCTCAGTTTCGCACGGGACTACCCAACCATCACTGAGGACTTCGGTTAGGGTCTATTTGCTTCATCTGCTTGAGTCACTGAACCCCCGTGCCTGCATACAGTAGTGCCAACAGACACGATTCTCAACATGAACTAGATTCTAACTGCTCTGAACAGGCATAGCGCCTGGGGAGAAGTGTGGACTTCGTACACTCCCAAGGGGTTTGGATTCTTTTCATAACTGCATCACCTTTGCAACTTTCAGAACAGGGAATCACGGCTCAGGACCCGCACGTTCTTGCCCACTGACCCATCTGCCGTGGAGCCTCCACTCTGGTGATCCAGCCACGATTCCCCACACACGTCTGACCCTGCCCCGCCAGGGCTACCTCTGCTGTGGCTCTGCAAGGATCTGCCCTCTTTCCAGACCTGCACACCAGCCCGCCTGGCCCTCACTCCACCAGACCACCCCAGCATTCCCCCCTCCCCCCGCCACACCTGCCTCCCAGCCTTGCACCCGCACCCTCAGGAGGGATGGGGTGCCCTCCCTGTGATGCAGACAGGGCAGGCAGGGCACGGGCCCCACGAGGCATCGCAGAGGGTCCAAAGCAAGGGTGACACGTTGACCACCAAGCCGCCTGGAGTTATGGGAATGAGCCAGCCTGTGGCGGTGGGGACGGGGGGGGGGGGGGGGGGGGGGTGTCACAACATCAGTTCACAGTTCACTGGCCTCTGGGTCCAGCGAGAATTTAAAGGAAACTTTTTAAAAGTAACAATCCCCAATGTGGCAGGACAGCTGGAGAAGACACGGTGGAGGACGAGCGTGGGGAGCGAGGACCAGCGATGGGTGGGGGCTCGGTGAGCACGCATCCAGGCCCTCCTTTAGTGGGGCTGGCACCCACACCCCTCCCTGAGATCCCCTCCGCCCTCCGCCCCCACCCTGCAAGCACCCCCAGCCTCTCACACTGCTCCCAGGCTGGCGGCCCATGCAGCACCACACCGAGGGCTGCACTCTGTGGGTTTGCCCCATCTTGGAACCACGCTGCCACCACCAGGCCCCACACCTGCTGCCTCTCATGGGAGGGACCCTGGCGCTGGTGAACCCACAGCCTTCTAAAACCCAGAATGAAAGTGACCCAGAAGCACTGAGTGCCCTGAAGATGAACAGAGGACTCGGTAAGCGAACCAGAGGTGCCAGCTGTGGAACGCAGGACGAGGCACGGCCAGCATCAGCAGCGGGGCCCCCGGGGCAGAGGGAAGCTGCGTGCAGCCTCACACGTGCTGACTGGGGGTTCCACGTGGTACCCCCTACTCCACAACCCCGACCACAGGATCGCCGAGCTCGCAGCAGCTCCGTGCACCAACATCTGTGGTCAAGAAACGGTATGCATCACAAAGGGGGTGCTGGTTGGAGACGCTGCGGGACAGACCCAGGAGGCCCTGCAGAGCCTTCAGGAGAGAACAAGTAGGTGTTTGGGCACGAGAAGATGCCCGATGCAGGAAGCTTTTCTCAGAAAAGAGAAGTACGTGTCGCAAACCCCCATTTTTAGGAAAACCTCACTCCCCTACGCTTGAACAGGGACGTCCTGCCCCCGGATGGTTCCTCACCCTGGCTCCTGGCCACTGCTGGCCGTGCACACCGTGCTCAACGCCTCTGCCCTCACGCCAGCTACAGCGCCCGCCTTCTCCTCTTGCATCTCCACTCCTCCCCGCGCCTATGCTCACAGCCCCCGCCGTTCCCTTCTGTGAGTGCTCCTCTCGGCGCTCCTCTCGTGGGCGCGGCGCTCGGCTGGGCCGCTTGCTCCCCTTGGCCTGTGGCCACGGGGCTGAGGCCTCTTGTCTCCCAGCACGCACTAGCAGTGACTAACAGGCAAGCGTACCCTGCTTACGACAGCCGATGGCTCCCGCCTCTGGCTCCAGACAGTCCTGGCCAGGCGTCCGCACCCACCCGGCCCCACAAGTCCCGCCTCCACTCTTCTCGGACAACTTGTGCTGTCTGGCGTCGCACATCAAGACCGTGAGCTCCAGCGGGCAGGCACTCGCCGGGCTCACTGCCGCCTCACCCACAGAGCAGACGCTCCACGAGGGCGTGAGCCCTGACCCTCCCCGGGGCAGAGAGACTGCGCCCTGCCTGGGGGATCAGGCACGCCCCTCGCCCGCGCTCCCTTGGCACCATCCGCACACACTCACACGGCTACTCTGCCCCTACAGCTCTCTGGAAGGCGCCTGGGTCCCTCCTACTCCTGTGACGGAACTCAGGAATCTAAGAACACGGGGAGTGCTTGACCTAGCAGGTCACGTGCCCTCAAAGGCCACGGCCGCAACCCCACCCTGTCCGTTACACCTGACCGCTCAACCATGTGACAATACTGTGGTCCAGACTCCAAGGAAACGTTACCTTTGCAGAGCTCGGTGAGCAGCAGGAACTCGGCCTGCCCCGTGTCCGACTCCTCCTTCCCTATGGATGCTGCAGAACAAAACTGGACAATATTGGGGTGGCCAGAAAGTTTTTTCTGCAGGTGTCTTGTTAAAGGAGAATGCGTAAGTCTGCACGTTTAAAAACAAATATACATGTGACATTAAGACACTAAAGTCAAAGTGTGGAATGAAATTACCTTACAGTCCCAGCACATCGGAGCAGAAAGACGGAGGGCAGTGGGGGGGGGGGGGGGGGGGGGGGCGAGAAAGGCAGGCGGCGGGGGGGGGGGAACGGAGAGGGAAGGTGGGGGTGAAAACCGCCACCACGCTGGCCACACGCACCTGACCACGGGCCAGGCAGGACAGCAGACAGAGGGCACGTGCGGGTGCGGGAGGCCACGGGTGTGAATGAGCCCGCCAAACCTCTGCAAGGCGAGAGCCCGCAGGCTCACAGTACACAGAGCTTCGAGAGAGAAAAAGAGAACACATTCTGACAGCAGAGGGCAAGAGCCCAGCTGAGGGAGAACATGTGCCAGAGCTGAGAGCCCGCAAGAGAAGCGCCACAGACCCACGAGCCGTGCACAGAAACCTGACAGCCTGACTGCCGGGGGCAGGGTGAGGGACAGAGGGGCTGCTGACCAGGAGGGACACGGAGGCCCACTAGAACCAGGCCGAGCAAGGGTCCTGGCAAGAGCCGGAGCAGCGGGGCACGCCACGCTCACTAAGGGGAAGACGGAAGGGCGGAGAGCAGGAAACAAATCCTGCGTGAGCACGGAGACCTCCCGGGCCGCAAAGCTACTGAACCTCTAACTGTTACCCTGGGAGCGAAGGAGGAGGAAGGAAACCTTCTCCTACCAATACTCTACAGGCAGGTCCAGTGAAGGCGGAAGGCCAATTTTAGCGTGTCCGAAAGAGCAAGAGCGCGGCAACTCGACGCAGGCCTCCCCACGTGACCGCACGTGCTCTCGTCCCGGGAAAAGGATACCATGAAACAAACTTCCTGAATGATGGCTCTGTTCTTTTCCTCTTCGTTAGACAATAACCTCTGTATCGGGAAATAAACACAAAGATTAAGGAGTGTTTATCTTTCTATTCTACACCCAGGAGAATAAATGCAACGCATCTAAAAGCTTAACCTGCTTACCTGTATTTTAACATCTGGCCTGTGTAAAAACTTGACAGAAGGTTAAGACCCTTGAAAATGGTCTTTTATGACCCAAGGACACAAGAAAAATGAAAAATAGGAGGCTTTCCCCAAAGAGGCTACAGCAAAGTTAGAAAATCAAGGAAAACGGGAGAAGACGCCGGCAGAGAAGCGGGCCTCTGTTCCGAACCTCCAAAGTCAGGCAGCCCCTCAGCAGTAGCCCTGGCACCGGCACCTGCACGGCCCCAGGAGGCCCCCGCCCCCCAAGCTGTGGACACAGAGTTCACAGCAGTGACTTTCAACCCCCTGCTATCTGTGGAACCCTCCTGGCAGTCGGCACTGAGGTCGCCCCTCGCCACAAAGTCGGAAGCCACAGCTTAAAGTGTTCTGCAGCTGCTGATGGCCTCACCCTCAGAGGGAAAAAACAGGACAGACTATTTAAAAAAAAAAAAGCAAACTAAATACTAGGGACGAATCTCCGGAAACTTAGAGATCTACTTAAAATGGCCCAAACCCCACACAAATGCCGGCCTCGTTACCTTCAAGGCGTACTCTCTGCCACTTCCCAGGTCTTGAGCCTCATACACAAACGCAAACCCTCCTGAAAATTAGAAAGACGTACAGGTCAGTTCAGTGCTCTGACTTCCCTTGACATTAAGCTTCAAAAATACGTTCACTAGGTGAAATACAAACCGGGCTTGTGGCCAGCAATTTGCTGCAGAAACGACCCTCATTTATATGATGCTGTCTTTTAAATATCCCGCTTTGGGGACAGGAAGGAAATCAACACAGGAACAGAGATCAGTGGGGGAAAGAATGGAGAAAATCAACACCAAAGCTTCTGAAAGCCAACATTCTCTGAGAACAAGAAAATGAAACTGATAAATTCTAGATAAACTGGTCACCGAGAGAGTGAGAGCAAGAAAGGAAAAATTAACACAGGAGCAACTACCCCCAGAACAGAAGGCCAGCACTGCCTTAATGCCCCAAAACGACTTTAAAGCACATCCAGTATCACATGAACACAAAAAGTCCTTTTTTAAAATGTTTATTTATTTGGGGGGTGGGGGGTAAACGAGCAGGAAGGGGCAGAGACGGGGACAGAGAATCCAAAGTGGGCTCCGTGCTGACAGCGCAGAGCCCGACGTGGGGCTCGAACTCACAAACCAGGAGATCGTGACCTGAGCTAAAGTCAGAGGCTTAACCAACTGAGCCACCCAGATGTCCCAACAAATTTTTAATTCTGGGTAAAGTAAAATTTCAGCATATCAAACCCAACGATATATGAAGATAACACACTGCGACTAAGTAAGAGTTGATTAAACATTTGAAAATCCCTGTAGTTCTCTTGTTTTTAGGTTTCATTTGCTTAGCTTCTTCTAGCTCCCCACGGTGGAAAATTACATCATGACACTAAGAGCTGTGAGCAGACACCCTACGATGCAGCAACTGCACTACAAGGTATTTATCCAAGGGATACAGGGATGCTGTTCCGAAGGGACACATGCACCCCAAGGTTTATAGCAGCACTACCGACAAGAGCCAAAGTATAGAAAGAGCCCAAGTGTCCATCGATGGATGAACGGATAAAGAAGATGTGGTATATATATATCAATGGAGTATTACTAGGCAATCAAAAAGAATGAAATCTTGCCATTTCCAACTACGTGGATGGAACGGGAGGGTATCGTGCTAAGTGAAACTAGTCAAAGAAGGACACAAATAGTGACGTCACTCATGAGGACTTTAAGAGACAAAACAGATGAACATAAGGGAAGGGAAGCAAAAATCACATAAAAACACGGAGGGGAACAAAACAGAAGAGACTCATAAATATGGAGAACAAACTGAGACTTGCTGGAGGGGTTGTGGGTGGGGGGATGGGCTAAATGGGGGATGGGCATTAAGGAGGGCACTTGCTGGGATGAGCACTGGGTGTTATATGTAGGGGATGAATCACTGGAATCTACTCCTGAAATCAATGTCGCACTACACGCTAACTAACTTGGATGTAAATTTAAAAATTTTTTTTAAATGTTTTAAATAATAAAATAAAATAAGCAAAAGACACACAGAGACATTCCGCCCATGCAGGTGCATGGTCATCCTCCAGGAAGGTGCACCTGAAGGCACAATAAGGTATCAGTACACACCTGCTCGAATGATCAAATCGGAACACAGCACAAAACATTGGCAAGGCCACGGAGACACTGGGTGACTCTTTGTGGCCACAGACTCCACACGTTGAGCCCTAGCTCCCAGTGTCACTGGATCAGCAGACAGGGCGTTCAGGGAGGCAATTAAAGAAATGAGGTCATCATAGTGGGGCCCTGACCCAGCAGGACTGGGGTCTCTCTCCACCCACGTGCACAGACAAGGTGCCGTCTGCCGGCCAAGGGGACAGGCTGCCCGGGAAACCAACGCTGCCAGTGCCATGATCTGGGACAGGAGCCTCCGGAACTGAAAACATAAATTCTTGTCGTTTATGCCTTGAAACTGTGCTACTGTGCCATGGCGGCCTGAGCAGACTACCACACTCGTCTGCTGCTGGTCAGAAGTGTAAGAGGACACAGCCGCTCTGGAAACAGGCTGGCAGGTCTAGACAACAAGGTCTGCAGCTACCGCACAAGTCGGTCATCTGCACTCTTAGCCGCTCACTCCAGAAAAATAAGAACCTGAACACGAGTGTTTACAGCATCTTTATTTCTTTTTTTTTTTTAATTTTTTTTTCAACATTTATTTTTGGGACAGAGAGAGACAGAGCATGAACAGGGGAGGGGCAGAGAGAGAGGGAGACACAGAATCGGAAACAGGCTCCAGGCTCTGAGCCATCAGCCCAGAGCCTGACGCAGGGCTCGAACTCACGGACCGCAAGATCGTGACCTGGCTGAAGTTGGACACTTAACCGACTGTGTCACCCAGGCGCCCCTACAGCATCTTTATTTCTAACAGCCAAAACACATCTGGAAACAACCCAGACGTCCTTCAGTGGGGGAACAGTTAAAGAGACGGAGCCACCCACACCACGAATACGCTTCACCAATAAAAATGAGATCATGGACACAACCACCTGGGTGGATCTCCAGACACTAATAGCGAAAAGGGCCAATTCCAAAAGGATACACACACAATGTCAAAACTGTAGAGACAGAGACCTGATTAGTAGTTCCCAGCGTTAAGAACATAGGTTTTAAGGGGATGGAAACTTCTGTGTTTTTGACTCTACTGATGTCAAGACGCTGGTCGAGACACTGACTAGTTTTTCAAATTGTTACCACTGAGGGAAATGGGCAAAATATGCTGGTGCCATTTCCTAAAACTACAAATAAATAAACCCACACTTTTCTCAAAATTGAAAGTTTTCATAAAAATATTACTGCTGAATAAAACATCTCGAGAAACTAAAGGGCAGGCATTGCTAAGACGCTGCTGTATGCATTCATTCTGAGTATGTTCTGGAATTGGGAGACAGGCACAGGTACCTCAACTGTCGGAGCCAGACCCTTGCCCCTCGAAGGCAGGCTGGCCAGGGACGGCAGCGACCCCATCCATGGCTTCCCTCCTCCTCCCCATATGCGTGCATGCGTGTCTGTTATATAAAATGCACGACTTGCATCTGGAATAAAAAGCTCCCACAACTCCTGCCCGATGGGAAATGGACAAGACTTAGGCATTTCACACACACACACACACACACACACACACACACACACACACAGATATGTGACTGGTTAACAAGCAGGAGAAAAGTGTTCACACTATCATCAGATAAATGTAAATCCCGTGCCAAGTAGACACCAGTGCACACACCTGTGGACACACACCAGTGCGCACAGAGCTGAGGACAGGCACGCACACCCGAGGACACGCACCAGCGCGCGCACACCCGAGGACGGGCACCAGCTTGCACAGCCGAGGATGGGCACGCACACCTGAGGACATGCACCAGCCCGCGCACACCCGAGGACGGGCACCAGCGCGCACATCGAGAACAGACAGAAAGAACTGAAATGACGTTAAAGAACACTGGCGAGGGTGTGGAGACGGGAGCCCGGGGCCTGCCGGCCAGAGTGCAAATCGGCGCAGCCCTGCTGGAAAGAGTTAGCCGTGTGCACGTAAAGTTCATCCTACATCCAACCCATACCCAAAGATCCCCCTCCTGGGCACTTTACCTGAGAAAACACACTGCAGGCGAGTCAACAGACCTCAGAACCACACAGCTGGCCCAGAGGGGGCGCCCGAGGTGTGACGCCATGTGCATGACACTGGCAGAGAGGGGACTTGGAGCCGGTGGCTGGCTGGAGGCGGGGAAGGGGGCTGGGGGCCATGAGAGGCTTCCCGGGGTCACTCAGCTGTTCTCTATCTCTTCAGGTGGTTGGCTACACGGGTGTAAGCCTTCACCAAAGCAGTTCCATTCTGTAGATTTTTCTGTATGCCAATAATTTAAGTCGTTAGTTAAAAGAAACATAGGCATAGGACATCGATGCGCCATTCCAGAAGAGGAACCCGAGTAAGCTAACAAGCACCGAAAAACGCACCAACTCGTAAATCAGAGAAAGGCAAATCCACACAAGCCCACACGGTGTTTGCCCATCACCATGAGGATGGTGTGGGGACACTGGGGTCTGGCAGGCCTCCATGTAAGGTGGCGAACTGGCGGGGAAGACCGTGAGCACCAGGAAAAGATACGACGGCACGAGGAACAATCCGGGAGATTCACCACGTTTTGTCAGCGCTGTTTCTAAGAAACACTTTCACAAAAGGAACAGAATCCTGTTACCCACGTCACATCCTCACATCGGCACCACACATCTTCGGGGTACGTGACTATGCAGAAATGACCGTGCAGACGGCGGGAGTCCACAGAGAGGAAGAGGCCGAGCCATGGAGAGACAGACAGCAGCCTTTCCCAAGGCAACCTCCCCTTCCCCAGTGACCTTCGGGGAGGGTGACCTCCTCCCACAATAGCCCCCCCCCCCCGTGACCCCTCCACCATGACTTCCCCCCAAGGCAACCCCTCCCACGGTGACCGCCCCCATGATGTCCCACTCCAGCCACCTGCACCTCAACAGAAAGAAACTGGAGAAGTTACACACGCCTGCTGCTGCAGTCGCCCAAGGCACGGAGCAAAGGGCCTTGGCACTCGGCTCCCACCCTGGCTCCACGGCACCGCCCACTTCCATCTGCCTCAGACAGGTGCACTGCCCTTGCTTCCTTGACCTTGACGTCCTCCACGCCTCTCTCCCTTCAGGATGCACTCCACAGGCTGACCTGGGCCAACGTGCAGGTGACCAGACACACTCGAGCAGATGCCAAGGAGGCCAGCCTCCCAGGGGCTCCCAGGCCCAAGTCCACCACTCACTGGCCAGAGGCTCTGGGAAGCTACTCCGGCCTTAGCTCAGCCACTGTCAGGCTCGCAGTCCATGTGAAGCACCAGGCACGGTGTCCACCAAATAGAGCCCCGTAAACAGTGTTACGCTGGTTATTATCATTTCACACTAGGTGTTCGTCACCATGGCTAAGGGGCTGATGACAAAGTCGCCAAGTGGCAGGTGAAGAGGGTGCGGTAAGGGGAGCTGGGAGAGGGCGACTGATCAGACGCAAAATCGGACGACACCACCCTGAATACTAGCATCAGTGCCCAAGCTCTCACGGCAAAGACCTGGCCCCTCTGTGCTCTCAGGTGTCTGGAGAGAGGGCCACTCAGCACCCCTCCCCGGGTGAGAGTAGCCGTGGCGGGTGATGGAGAAGATGACCTGGAAGAAGGCCACCAAGCCGCAGGGCTCGGGGATCAGGCACGCTTCCTATGTGAAAAGAGCGACGAGCGATAAACGAATGTGCTGTGACCGCTGATCGTCTTTTAAGGTCAAGGAAAACGTCTTCTGCCGTGGACGCCTGTAGAGCGTGTCCTGACCCAACAAGCGCTCCTCTCCCTCCATCACGCCAACCTCAGTGGTTCCTGACACCCCCAACCAAGAGTCCTGTCACACAGCCCCATGACCGTCCCTGTGCCCTGCCGGTCCCCACACCGGCTGCAGACAAGGAGGCAGAGGAGTGGAGGGCTCACGGTGAGCGCACACTGTGCCCTCACGGCTTCTCACGCCAGCACCGACCCCAGAGAACACAAGGGACCCACGTTAGGTTTATCAAAGACCACTGATACCACGCATGGCACACAGCGTTCCAGCAAACAGATGCTGAAATTTCACGTAACATCCAACCAAACACACGTGACTAGTTACGCATAAATGGCGGGGCGGCTCTGTGGCCTGGTTTCATCTTCAGAAGAGAAGGCCACACACCACCTCGTGTACCTCACTAGCAGTGCAGCCAGAGCGAAGCAGTCACGGGAGAGGTGGGCTCACCTTGCATGACAAAACCCTTGTCTTGGCTGCAGCCATCACCTCTGTTACCTCTCTTTTTTAAATTCAATTTTTAATTTTTAGAGACAGAAAGAGAGAAAGCAAAAAGAGGGTACGTGAGCAGGGGAGAGAGAGGGCGGGAGAGAGGGGGAAGAGGGGGCAGGGGGGAGGGGGAGAGAGAGGGAGGGGGGAGAGAGAGGGAGGGGGGAGAGAGAGGGAGGGGGAGGGAGGGGGAGAGAGAGGGAGGGAGAGAGGGAGGGAGGGGGAGAGAGAGGGAGGGAGGGAGGGAGAGAGGGGAGGGAGACAATCTCAAGCAGGCTCCTCGCTCAGCACAGAGCCCAACACAGGGCTCGATCCCATGGCCCCTACAGTCAAAATCAAGAGTTGGACGCTCAACCGACTGAGACACCCAGGTGCCCCGTTACCTCTTCTAACCGCAGGAAGCAAGCAAGAATGTGCAAAATCCAAAGCAGGAGAACATAAAGACTGTATTCTAGAATCTGCTTGGACTCAGCATCTCTGACGCGGGTGTCATTCCCACTAACTTGTTTTGTTGTTTTTTAAATGAAAACTTAAAACCAACTTTCGAAAGGTTAGGAAGCTATCTGGCTCCGAGTTCTGTCCACAACCCATTTCATATCACAGATGCAAAAAACAATGCTTTCTTCCTAAACCACTGACAGCAAAACGTGATGTACCGTAAATTCACCTGGGGCAACACCTGACACGAACTGATATAGGGCTATTTAAAGACTTAATCCCCCACAGTGAGGATACTTATCTAAGTACAAACATCTGATTTGATTATTATTATTAAATACATTCCCAACTCCTGTAGAAATATACAGGATATACAGGATGTCTATTATCTTCTGAACCCTAAATAATTCTAAAGTTGTCAACATGTGTACCCGAGGGACTGAGTTTGGAACTCCCCACGTTTACACAGGACAGCAAGAATTCCCACGTTCCAAGGCTGAGGTTTTACAGGAAAGACTTGACACGAGTTTCTCAACATTTCAGTTCCGAAAGAGGCTTCACAACTTTAAAGGCTACACGCCAGCTGTTACATGCTTTACATAAAGAGGAAATCTACAGCTCATAATTGTACTGGTTATGTTTATCTCCCGACTTGTCTAGATAGCAAAGGGAGTGCGTTCTTTTGCACAACCACATCGGCTGGTCCCATTTCCTTATTCTGCGTCCCAGTGTTAAGCAACTTAAATGGTGACAGCTTCCTGCTCCACAAGACCCCCCCCCCCGGGGTCGGATTAGGGAGGGGACGCCCCCTGCCCCACCCCCAGGGCACATTCTCTCCCCTCTCACCTCAGTTTGGCCCTCTAGACCCCTCACCACTGCCTGTCCTGTCCCAACAATCCTCCAGGGCTGTGCGGTCCTGTCATTAGAGGGTGTGTCTAATTTTAAGTTCCAGGAGGCAAAACCCACCTACTGTCCACTATGCATTTCTTAAAAAACAAGACAACTGTCTGGTATTTTCAGAATAAATGAATTGATGTGAGGGAACTCTCATTCTAACAGATACCACCCCTCAGAATGTTAACAGAGGTACTGGCCTCACCTCTGAAGACCTTGGGTTGCTGTTTTTTTTGTTTGCTTTTTTTTTACCAAATCACACCCAAAATCTGTTGCTTTTTTTTACCCACATGGAAAAACAGCATGTGCTGATGCTGCAGCCAGAACATCCCCTCAGGTCTTTAGGAATAAGGTGAACGGTCAGCTGGTGTGGTTTCCTACCTCAAACTGAGCATAAACGGAAGCAGGGGTGGCCACGTGACAAGCTGAACCTGAGGTCCGGAGAGCTACCGGACAGGTCGGCTCTCTCGCCCTGTACCACTCCCTCGCCCCGTGTTAATTCAGGGAAATGGCGTTCTGTTTCAGTACCAGCCCCAAAGACAACTGTGTTTAGCCATTAAGCATCCCAGCTAGCAAAATGTGACATACCCCCGTGGGCGCCCCCGACAATACGTAAGGAAAATCCAGAAGAGAGAATGGGATCACATCGACGTTGGCAATAGTCTCTGTGTGAGGAAGAGAAAGAGAAACAGCAGGCAGAAACAAAGATGACTAAAGAACGGCCCGGAAATCTCTCCGTGCCTGACGAGTCCAGCCTGCAAGGCTCCATACAGCTCACAACTGCTGGCATGCCCTAGCTTACACGGACTCACAAACAGAGATCAGGGCAAAGTGAAGCTCAGGCGGCAAGAGGAGGGAGCTAGGCTGTGGGTCACAGCACCGTCTACGCCAACATCCAAGGCAGTCAGGACTGCAGCCATCCTCACCAAGCTGCACGAGCACCCACGCCCAGGACCCTGAGAATCGAGGGGAGCTGGCCCGATGTCCGGAGATCCAGTGCTGTTCCACCGCCCCCCGCCCAATGGCCCAAGATGTGAGGGGAAGGGCCATGACTCCCATAGGTTCCCTTCCTTCTGCCTCCACTGTGGCCCCTCACCTGCTCACCACCCCCTCCCCGCTGCCACGGCTTTAACTGCGGCCGCAGGCCAGCCCCACACCTGCTCTGACTGCCACGCCTCCCACAAGGAAGTGCCCGGCCCTACGCCCGGCCTCACTCACCTTCGGCAGTCGCTCCGGGTCGGCCTCACCCTCTCCCCCCCCCCCCCCCGGGGGGGCCCCCCCCCCGCCCCCCCCCCCCGGGGGGGGCGCCCCGGGGGCGGCCCCCCCCCCCCCCCCCCCCCCCCGCGGCGACCCTCCCCCATCCCCCGCCGCGCCGGGCCGACCCGCACCGGAATCGGCCTGACCCCGCCCCCTCCGGGCCGGCCCCGCGCCCGTCCGCCCCCACGCTGGCCCCCCCCTCCCCCCGGCCCGGGCCTCACCCTCGGCCAGGACCCGCCGCACCCGCAGCCGCAGTTCGCCCAGCTCCACCGTCTGCCCCACGAAGTCGGTCTGGTCGCGGCCGGCAGCACCGCCCAGAGAGCCCGGGCCCGCCAGGAAGTCCAGCGCAGACTGCAGCAGCGACATGGCTACGGCCCCGCGGCGGGCGCCGGAGCGGGGAGCTCGGGGTGCAGCTGCGTCCGGGTCCGCTCAGCAACCGCCGGCCCCGAACCGCACCATCTTCCGCCCCGACGCCGTGACGTAGGCCCGCGGGGGGCGCGCCGCGGCCCGGAAAGACGCCAGCGCCTCACTTCCGCCGCGCCGGGCGTCGGCGCGCGCGCGGAGCGCTGGTGGCAGAGCGCGCCTGCGCGGCGCCGCGGGTCTCGTGAGGGGCCGGCGACCGTCCGGCTCGGGCGCCTCGCCGACCGGAACGCAGACGCGCGTGACAGTGGCCGCGGCGACCGTGCGCAGGTAGTCCGGCTGCGGGCCCGGGCCCTGACGGTTCCCCACTCCCACGCGGTCGTTTCTGCGGAGGCTGCTTCTCAGGGCGCCCTGGCTTGAGTGAGCGCGGCCGCCCCCTGGGTGGCCAGTCCCGTGGGGGTGCGCGGCGCGCGCGAGGGGCTTGCGGGCCGCGGGCGGGTGTCGGGGAACGCTCGAGCGACGTTTCGTTCTGCCTCTTGGAGGTGGAAATCTCCCGCGGCGTGTCGTGAGTACGATTGCGAGCCCCGGGCACGCTCCCGGCTTGCCGTGGCGGGGAGTCCACAGTAAGGGTCTTTTTTTAAAAAAATGAGGTGGTTGCTACCAGAAGACTGAAAAACTTAAGTTAAACACACACACACACACACACACACACACGCGCGCGCGCGCAACAGTTTGCCAGCTTCTGTAGGAAAATCCGGTCTGGCAGCCTTGGCACCCAGACCCCGAGTGTCACCACTCACCCAGAGCTGCCCCCTGAGGTAAGACACCAGCGTTTGCCTGGCCCGCTTGGCTCTTTGTGTCACCTGGCTGGTTCGTGGAGGCGTTGAGGGTTGCAGCCCCCTCTGTGTTCATCGTCAGCCTGGAAGCCGCGTCTCCGTTCTCTGCGATTTCAAGTTGCTAAAATTGTGTTTCCAGACGAACGGGGCTCAGGGGCTTAGTTCACACCGTGCCGGCCTGTACGTAGTGGCTTATTTTTTTTTTTTTTAATGTTTATTTATTTTTGAGACAGAGACAGAGCATGAGCAGGGAAGGGGCAGAGAGAGAGAGAGAGACACAGAATGTGAAGCAGGCTCCAGGCTCTGGGCTGTCAGCACAGAGCCCGACGCGGGGCTCGAACTCATGAACTGTGAGATCACGACCTGAGCCGAAGTTGGCCGCTTAACCGACTGAGCCACCCAGGCGCCCCTGTGGTGGCTTATTTTAACGCTCCTGCGGGACCTCGGACAAGAAGGCACCACATGGTCACTCCCCGCCCTGCGGCCTGTTTCTGGGCACGGGAAACCTGCCCGACGGTATCGTTACTTGGCCAAGGCCGACGGGTGTTGCCGCTAGGATTCCACCCACGTCGTGGCTTTTCCACCCAGGGCGTTTGTCTGGTGGCGGATGGCGAGGGTCGGGCTCAGGAAAGCAGCCTCGCGAGGGACAGGTGCTGGGACGTCCTCGGCTCGTCGCTGGCAGTTGGCGGTCTTAAGAGCTGAAGGGAGCAGAGCCGTAGGCAGGCAGAAAGGTGTTAGAACATTCAGAGCACAGACCAGCCTGAGGGCAAGGAGCCGCCAGGGACGCGGGGAGAAAACCGCAGGCAGGAGCGTTGTGTCATGGGAGTCACAGAAAGACGTCTCCAGGGGCAAAAAGCCATTTAAAAGTCAAATAGAAAAACACAAGATTTCCACCGGGTTTAGCAACGATGAGGTGCTAAACGATGAGGTGATCTTGGTGATGGTGTCAGGAATGGCTTCGGAGGACTGTTGGGGTGGAAGCTGCAGGTCACGATAGGTGCAGGAAAAAAGAAATGAGAGAGGTGAAGAGGGGTGGAGAGTGGAGGCGACCCCAGAAGGGGGGGGGGGGCCCTCAGATGGGAGACCCTCGAGCTGCTGGAAGCTGGCGGGAGGGAGCCAGCGGAGGAAGTTTGCTGGTGCAGAGGAAGGGGAATAATGAAGAAAGCCTCCAGAAGGTAGGAGGGGAAGGACGTCCAGAACGTAGGGCCGTAAGAAGACACTTTGCATCGTGGACACAGGTGACGGCGTAGGTGATAAACGCTATGTGTTTGTCGCAAGTGAAGGGGTTCTCTGATGTCTTCTGTTCTCATGAACGAGGAAGACTAAATGCCTACGGAAAAGGAGAAGGTGAGAGAGCTGAGGTTTGAGCAGCGTGGAAAAGATCCAGCAGAGCTGCTGGGGTAACCCTAGGACACAAGTCACTGGAAAGCTGAGAGTTCGAGGGTTCCTTTGAATTTGGAGGCCATGAGTTGATCCTCACGTGACCTAGGATCAGGTGGAGATTTCTAAATGATGGAATTGCCCTGGAGACCACCGTTTGCTCAGACTGGTTATTTCGGGAATTCTTGCGGAGCACCTTGATACACTGACACTGCACAGGCACTGTAGTAACAACAGTTAACCTGTCTCCACGCCACGCTTCCTTCCTGGGCTCTTAGGCACCTGTCGCTCCACATCTCCCCTCATACCCGTGTCTAAAACTGAATTTATGTCTTCATCTGCAAGCCTATTTCTCTGTAGATTTCACAACAAAGAATACTGTCCGAAATCAAGAGGATCATTTCATGGGGCTCCTGGGTGTCTCAGTCAGTTGAGCGTCCGACTTTGGCTCAGGTCAGGGTCTTACGGTTTGTGGGTTTGAGTCCTGCGTCGGGCTCTGTGCTGACAGCTCAGAGCCTGGAGCCTGCTTCCGATTCTGTGTCTCCCTCTCTCTCGGCCCCCTCCCCCACTCACTCTCTGTCTCTCTCTCAAAAATAAACATTAAAAAAAGAACTCTTTTGGGGCTCCTGGGTGGCTCAGTTGGTTGAGCATTCGACTTCAGCTCAGGTCATTGATCTCACGGTTTGTGAGTTCGGGCCCCTCCTCAAGCTTGCTCCTGTCAGCTTGTCAGCACAGAGCCCGCTTCGGATCCTCTGTCCCCCTCTCTCTGCCCCTTCCCTGCTTGCGCTGTCCCAGACTAAATAAATATTAAGAAAAAAAAAAAACTCTTTAAAAAAAGAGGATCGTGTCATAATGATGAACTGGTACATTCATCAAAAAGACATAATAACCCTAAACAGTTTTGCATCTAATAATAAAACTTTAAAATACATGAAGCAAAACCAGGTTGTTTTTTTTTTTAACAAAACCCAACTGTAAATTTAAGTTGTAGGTTGTAGCTGGCGATTTCAATACCCTTATCTTAATAAATGATAGAACAAGTACCAGAAAATCACCAAGAATATAGTTGAATGATACCATCAGCCAACTTGACCTAATGGACATTTGTAGAACACTTTACACAATACCAGCAAAATATACATTTTCAAGTGTATATGTGAAGAACATTTACCAAGATGGATAATCTTCTGGGCTACAAAACAAGTATGTTCTGGGGCACCTGGGTGGCTCAGTCGGTTGAGCATCTGACTTCAGCTCAGGTCGTGATCTCAAGTTTGTGAGTTCAAGCCTCACATCGGGCTCGCTGCTGTCAGCCTGTCAGCTCAGAGCCCACTTCAGATCCTCTGTCCCCGCCCCCCACTTGTACTCTCCTCCAAAATACTTTAAAAAGGAAATTATGTTCTATGACCACAATGAAATTAAGTTAGACATCAGTAATAGATATCTGGAAAACCTGAATATTTAGAAGCTAATAACTCATTTCTAAATTACCCATGGGTCAAAGGAGAAATCAGAAGGAAAATTAGAATTTTGAAGTGAATGAAAATAAACGTGCAGCATTTTAAAATTTGTGGAATGTGGCCAAAACACGACTAGAAGATAGTTCTCAAACCAATAATTTTAGCATTCATCTTAAAAAACAGGAATAATAAGCAAATGAAATCCAAAGCAAGTACAAAAAGGGAAATAATAAATGTCAGAGTGGAAACCAACGAAATAGAAAACAAAAACAGAGAAAATCACTGAAAGCAAAAGCTGATTATTTGCGAAGATCAACACAATAGAGAAATCCCTGGTCATATGGAACCAGAAAAAGAACAGACAAATGATTAATAACATGAATAAGAGAAACGATAGAGGAGCTCCTGAGTGGCTGAGCTCCTGGGTGGCTCAGTTGCTTAAGCATCTGACTTCAGCTCAGGTCATGATCTCACGGTTTATGACTTCGAGCCCCTGCTTCGGGGAGTAACCGAAAGAGGGAGAGGGAATCCCAAGCGGGCTCTGCACTGTCAGTGCGGACGCCGATGCGGGGCTCAAACTCACAAACATGACCCGAGCCAAACCAAGAGTCAGACGCTTAACTGACTGAGCTACCCAGGTGCCCCTTAAAACACTTTGTAGCACTGGGTCATGATCTCACCGTTTGTGAGACTGAGCCCCGCATCAGACTCTGAGCTGACAGAGTGGAATCTGCTTGGGATTCTCTCTCTCCCTTTCTGCCCTTCCCTGCTTGTGTGTATACTCTCTTGAGCAGGTGTTCTATCTCAAACTTAATAAAACATTTTTTAGCAAGTTGAATCCCAACACTATGAAAAGAATATTGCATCGTGACTAAGTGAGGTTTTTCCCAGGAATGCGAAGTTAGCTTAGCATTTGGAGATTGATCAGTATAATTTACACTATTAACAGTTAAAAAGACTACATGGATCATCTTAATAGACACAGAAAAAAACATGATAAAACCCAACATCCATTCCGGTTAAAAAAAAAAAAAACCTGCTAGCATACTAGGAATGAAATGAAACTTCCTCAACGTAATAAAAGCAGTTATGAAAAACCTACAGCTGGTGTATAGAATGATGGAAGACTGGACCTGAAGAAGCCAAAGTTGTCAGGTCTCACCACTTGTGTTCATTATCGTGCTAGATATTCTAGCCAGTGTATTGGAGCAAGAAAAAGCTTCCAGACTGAAAATAATGAGTAAGTTTATTTAGGAAGATGACACGATCATTCACATTCGCTTGCCAACCTTGGTACTATTGACAGATGATTCCTTGTTGGGGTGAAGATGTGCCATTGTCTAGTGCATTGTTGGACATTTAGCAGCACCCTATCTCTATCCCCTAGATACCATTAATACACGTCACTCGTCACAACCAGAGATGCTTCCAGAGATTGCCAAATGT